TCATGTCCAAACTGTCATGAATGGGTGCTCATGGAGTGTGTATTGCCTGACATGTACTTGTCATGTTAGGATAGTGGTGGGTAATATTATATTTGGAACAGTATATTTTATTCATGGATCGCTCTACCTGATTCGAATTAGCTACCTAATTATTCATCAATTTCTTAGTTCCTTTAAACATGAGTCACCATATGCTTTATAATAAGTATACCTTCATATTACCTTCGGGTACCATAGGTTGGATGGAAGATCGACGTGGTTTCACATTTTGCACGATTTTCACCACCAGCTTAAAAAAAGCTACATCGCATCTGAAATAGGTGACCTGTGAATTTGCATGAGCATTCAATCTCCGACTGACATTAAGTTTTGATATAACAACTGGTTATTGTGCATGATACATTAATACCAAACTTCTCAAATGTACCCGAGCCCAAATTAATTACTACGTAATCACAAAAATAAATTCAACACGTACTATAAAATTCATTTCTAAATACATTACATATTTTTAGGACATAGTAAATGGTACAAATTTTGTTCGTAATAATTCTGGAAAAATGCTTTCTTTGATTAGATCAGTACATAAGTACATGAACAAGAGTTTATTCAAACGACGTGAGGCATACGTGTTTAGTGCAAGAAATTGAACGTCAATTTCAAATGTTTAGAAAATGCTCATCTAGTTTTCATGTATTTATGTCCAAATATTATTTGTGTATCTCGTGTTTTGTTGCTGGCTTCAAAGAAGACCTGTTGTTTACATGCTTGATCTAACTTACATATGTACATGCTTTTATAGATTTATGTCGAATGCACCTGCTCGCGATTGTAATTATTTTGAGATAAATAATTATACATCACTTCACCTATTTAATCACCATGTACGTTTTGGTAATTGTGCAATGTATGTATGCGAATAGTTACTTAGGATCAACAGGTCGTCACAATCCTTTCTTGACCTAACTCCTCAAATTGGTTGGTACATATTCCGATGACGTGTGTCACTTGGCAGCAGCCAGGCTATTTTTTGGCAAGGAGTAACTGCAACAGGCTTTCCTAAAAAATAATGGACACCGTTCATATATTGAACTTTAAAAATATTTAATCACACTGATCATTTCATGTCTATCTTATGTGTAAACATTCTGCATATTTTGTACATATGTTCTACATACCGCAAATGAAGTAAAATGCTCACCAACTATTGTTTCAATTGAGCCAGGTGTATTTTTAAATCTACTATATAGAAGACCTAACAGTTCACATTTGTGCCAGAAACTGTATTATGTAGAAGGGACAGGTGTTAGTTAAATACACACGTTGATTAATGCATAATTACAAGATGAGTCCCGTCTGCTCATTACAGCAACAAAAATTAAAGTGGTATTACCACTGCATTAGTCAACAGTAAGTACATATCCGTAGGTATTAAACTTTCTTGAAAAAAAGAGATGAGAACGAAGCCACCTAAACTCTTTGGAGTGAATGATTCCACCCAAGAATATGTGCACTCGTATGTGTGCTCGCTTTAAAAACCGACTTGACGTCTATTGATCAAATAATGCTAGCCAGAGGACGGGGAGGAAAACCCCTGGGTATCTTGAATTGTACGTAAAATGCTTGTCGTGTTTTGAGTTCTAAATAATTGTAAGCAATTCCTAACCTTAATTAATACCAGACTCTAAAACAGTTAAAACGTGCATGACAATATGCATGTTTTACGAGTATATCTGACTTGGCGAGGTGAAAACTGACCGTCAACTTATCCAGTCTATACATATGTAAACTAACAAGTTGTAAGTTCAAGTAAAGCTTTTAATTAGTAACTTAAGCCTCAAGCCAGAGCCGAGTTTTATTTAAAGTATCCATTATGACATGCAAAAGTACACTATGCAGTTGATCATGAAAGGCAGTGAGCCATGAAATTATTGGAGCAGAAAAAAGTAGTCTGTTCAGTGCATATGCTGTGATCGGTACACACTTGTCACTATAATGATTAAGCATTGTTTTAGGAACCATACATTCCCAATATTTTAATAAATGCTATGTGAGAATTACAATTTATTTATGAGTTTAAAATGGGAATTCATTCGTCACATGAGTAGAATGTCAGCGACAACGTCAAACTTTCAACTTATCTAGCTGGTTGCATATCCATGTATATTTATTTAGTATGGTGTTACATAATGTAAACATTATCATTAAAATTGGCATCGTGGCTGGTAAAGATTACACTATATCAAATTTCGGTGATTTGGGGTAGCTTAGCATCCACCACGACAATTAACTTGATGGTTCCACATTACTTGACGCCATGACTTGCCACCACGAGTAAATATGCATTTCTCATTGAATGAATAATACGATTTTTAATTATTTAGTTGCTGCAAATACATCATGTTCGGTCCTGACACTTTGCCAGACCAGTCTCTGTGGTCATTTTTGCTTCCAAATGCTCAATATTTTTTTAAAGCAATGAAACTTGAAATGCAAACTGAATTAGTCCCGTTCTTAATTTGCATAACAAGACAATAAAAACCACAGGCAGCACTCTCTTTTCACTGGTTTCATTCAACTTTCAACTGCAAAGTATGCACTTGTATTTATATTTATCTTTGTTGTCTTCTCAATTTCAATCCACTAACCAAATACTGTTATTAGGCTTATTTGGCGAGGATAGAGAAACACCAAGTTTTATCGAAGAATATCAAACTTGTTTGCTTTCTTTCCTCCTTTTAATGTATTTATGGGAGACAAGTTGGACCTAAATGTTTCCCTTGATCTTACATACAGATATATGGGCATAAGGTTTGAACGACTTATGTTCTTGGTTTTTTTAACAAGGACAAAGGTCGGTCACCCAGCATTATTAGGAAGAATAAGAGACAGGACAAAACCATTGGACATTTTAATGATTTTTTTACCTTTCAAATAAGACCTCAAGCACATACATACACGATACAAATGCATGTGGTACTTGTGTGACTCGTTTCTTACTATTTATTATATGTTCTGGCACCACCCAGTAATAAGGGATAAAAATTTTGGGTCAATACGGCTGAAACGAGTAGTTGAAATTGCAAAGACGAATATCAGCTTTGACATTGTATTAAACCGTCATATTATTTACGAACAAGCTACGTTGGATTTTTTCTCGAATTTTCGACTGTTCTGATACTTTTAATTTGACAATAAAACGAACCTCAATATCATATCCATAGTTGTAATTAGAACATCACATGCAATCTTAAACCGGAATTTTTGCATTTAATCGCAATATAATTTGTACATTTCTATTGTAAATTAGCAGCTCAGCTCTGCATAGATTATTATTGTGATATATTTATTCTTTATTACCGCATCGCATTTAATCTTAATCCTGAATAATGGGGCATAACATTTTAAACATTATTCCTCAAGTTCATCCACTGTTGACTGTCCCATGTTACTGTTAATTTGCTTCAAGTAACCAGGCTTTTACTTATTAAACCAGCCCCACCAAACATTATCAAGAATGGTAACAGTACAAAATGCATGCTTAAAAGTTCACCTAGAAATTCTTTCATGTTAATGAAAATGTTAATAAACCCAGGGCGAATAATCAGTATATTATGCACATTTGGGTATCTCAATCACCTTCTCCTGAGGTTATTTAAAAATTTATGAATTCAGGGAAAATGACAAGGTATTGGGTACGTCCACTTTTATGGTTTACTTTTTAGCTACATATGTTAATGTTGGAGAGTATATGTGATATGAAAATAAAACCTGTTTTCAGCTAATCTTGCCTCGAAATGAGAGTCTTAAAATTGGCAATATTATTGCAACAACCAACAGCTTCAAAGATTAGGCAAATCACAATCCAATATCAATATCATGATATCATCTTCATCACCACTATTATAAATACATAAGTATAAATGGGGACGTGTGCTAGTCATTCGAAATTAACCAATAATACAAATTAAATATGTATTTGTAAAGTTCATCCGTATTTCTATTATAACTTCGAATGTTCAATACTTGTCTATGTACATTTGCATATATCTCTTTTAGACCTTTTCTCTTGTAATTTGGAGCCCAACACTTGTGTTCTAAATAAAAATGTGAAAGGTAGGGCATTATTTACTAAAATAGTATATGAGCACAGTCTCATCGCGTGATTACGAAGGGTTGTTGGCTCTTTTTTTGTTCCAGCAACAGGCAAGTTCCTCCTTTGTTCTCTCTTCTAGTTACCTTCTAGTTACAGTAAGTATGCAACTTATACAGCAAAAGTGGCGAAGAAGTTTCTCGGTCGTTGGTGGTGGCAATATCGTCGTCGTCGTCGTCGCCGTTGTGCGTTTTGTCTGGTTTCTCTTATGCGTTCTGTTTCTTCTTCCTCGTGGTGTCTTCAGTGGCCGATCGTCTCTGATCGCATTCTCTTTGTGGTTGGAAACTGACTATTCTTCATTTGGTACTCGAAGAGAGAGGAAGTACGTAATTGTGCTCTACCCCCGCTCATTCACCATACGAAAACCGTTAAATCAAGAATCTGCGCTAATAAGAAGTAATTATAAAGTGAATTTCAGACTTTGTTACCCGAAAAAAGAGAGTACAAACGAGAGTTGTTTCCACTCGGAAATTTTCAGGTGCGTCATATCGATAACTCATCGGTTATGTCACCTATTGATTTTAATTAAACGTGCTTCAACGGAGACGTTACATTCGGTGATTATTTGTTAGCAATTGCGAGGTGAGTTTCACAGTTGTATTATCCATCTTCTTATTAAATAACTCAAGTTCTAACAACTTTATTGAGAATGTGGGTAAAATGAGACTCAGTATTCCAAGAGTAGTAGTAGAGAAGAACAAAGGCACATAGTTTCACCATAAGGATTAGTCATCAGACTTCTTGTTAATTTCGTAGGGTTAGTCATATCAGTTTTTGAAGGGATGAATACAGTTACTAGTTTTTTGATGATGTGATTTACAATCTGTACAATTCATGTAGTGTTGACTAAATTTGAGATGGACTTGCTTTTTTAAAGTGGCTTCTTGTGATTGCACAAGCACAAAATTATTGCAACACCGTGTGCTGTGCAAGAAATTGAGTGCAGTTGTGAGATGACGAGTCTCGCTCTCTCTCGCTGCGAGGAAATGACGATGAGTCAAAATATTTACATGTGTCTCACACAAGTTGTCTCATTTTTACCTCAGCCGTTCACATTATGATAGAACAAGGCTCCATCACACGCTTAAATTTACATATTAACAAAGTCTCATCCAGCATTTGAAAGTCGTCATTCGTCACTAATTTTAGCATTAGTATTAAGATTATGGTATACACAGTTAGCAGTAATAAAATATATAAGGTATATATATCTATTATCGAGTATAAGATTACTGAGGTGGGCAGACAAATTACAACCGTTGACTGTGGTTGGTTAAGACAAAATATTAGAAATTCTCCTCGTGTATGGAGAAGCTTGCTTGGTTCTTATTGTGTTACAGAGACTACTGGAAATTCCACAACGTTGGGCAGCGAGAAGGAGGGATCTGATCATCGTCAGGATAATTGTAGGCCTGCGACTTTCTCTTTGGTTATCTAGCTGTATGAGCGTCCTGCAATAACCTCATAAAGCTAGGTTACCAAGGTTAAAGCCTGACCTAAAAGTCATCTCTCGTCCATGCTTCCATTCAACGCCCTTTACGAATGTAAGTCATTTGACTTCTCTCCTTTGTCTACAGTAGAGTTTGATTAAAACGAGGAAATGTATATGAAGGAAATTCGTTAGCAAGTGCTAATACTTTGAACAAAGTCGTGTAAACTCAAATACAGCATGGTCTAAAAGCGAGGAGACAGAAATCATTTTATTTCATCTTTTTTACAGAATGGAGTTTGAAAATGAACAAATTTATTGCTTTATTATCAAAACAATCCAGAAAGATAGAACATATGAACACCACCGAAAATTACAAAACTTAACAACAAAAGTACTCCTAATTTTAGTGACATTGTTAACAAATAGATATTTATTTAATATATTTAGTAATTTTCTTCGTAGATATACACTTTGTTTTAAGGATCAATTGAAACGTACATGTAGTCAATGTAGAATTATATATAAATTAATAAAATTAATAATAATTGTAGAATTATTTTGCTGCCTACTATATAGATGTATCATCTTTTTGGTGTTTGTAGATACATACGTACACATAGTCAAATTGCCAGTTGGAGATGAAGAGATGATAATACATACTGTGTCACGCAGCTACAAAAATTATAACTAAATTTCACTGGTCAAATTATTGAACTCTAAATGACACAATGGGTTTGACAATAATATCCTCAAAAAGGAGGCACAGAAGAATTAACGGAAAATTGGGGAACGTTCAATTAGGTGGTTTAATTAAGGGCAGTGATTTTCCAAAGGTACTTGTCAGCAAACACCTTTTAGCAAATGACACACCGATCTGTCCCTTGTGCTTCATCCCCTTCCTGATGAAATAAATCCTCGGGCGATCCAAAACCTAAACGTTTTCTTTGATGGCTAAATTGCACCCTCTTCGTGGTACGAGTTGCAACCTCCTGCGAAACCAAAAATAATATTACCCAATTCGCATTCGTATTTAAATATTAATTTAATTTACCTCGTTAGTGTTATTGTGCAAAACCGTAAGGAAATTGTCAGAAGGAAACCACTTTTGGGTTTTCATGGTCAAATTACGTGGCGGATCGTGAACGGCCCCTGGAGCATCAGATGACCAAATTGTAACGACCGAATTAGCTTCCAATTTCATTTGACGATAAAATTTATGAGTCGTTTCCAAATCACCAGCCCGACGGGTAAGAGTCCAACCGGAAAGTGACACATCCTTCAAAAACCAGTAACATTCAGCCACCCGTGTATTTCATATATATACTTTAACAAAATTACCTTTTCTCCCTTGTTGGCTAGTTTAATGAATTTCCCATCCGCATCTTCTTCCTGTATAGCAATATCTCCGCGTTGAGTGGCTTGCACTTCGAAATCAGCTTGAATGTCATAAGTGTCTGCTTCAAATCGACGCTTCTTAACGGCTCTCAGTGGAGTTCCTCGACGTTCGCTCGGAGTGCCTGCTCGTCTGCCACCGGTTGGGGAGATGGATAACCTAAAATTAATTATACATAGTTAAAAAACTAGATATTATCATTTTCTTTACACATTTATGAAAATCCACAAGTAATAAAACTCCTTTATCATCATTATTCTCAATAATTAAATGGTAGCAATAGGTTAGTAAAGTTACCTTCGTTCTTCAGTTTCAAGGAGCTTCCTGTATGTCGCAATTTCATTGTCCAAAGCAACTTTCGTATCCATCAAATCTTGATAGTCCATCATCAAAGCGCTCTTTTCTTTCATTAAAGAATCGATCTCGCCATCCCTGGCATCCAACATTTTGGCAAATTTCGCATGGTCGTCTTCGAGTTTTTTCTCCAAGTCCTTAAGTTTTCTCAACAGTTCGGCACGCTCTTGGTCGAATTTAGCGGATGCTTGAGATGATACATCAAGCTTGAGTAGCAAGGTCGAAATCTCTTCATTCTTTGAACCCAAAGTGCTCTGAGTTCGTTTCAATTGATTTTTTAAATCAGAATTCCTCTGAGCATAGAGATTCTCCATTTCTTCCTTGTTAGCATGCAATTGAGCTTCGTATTCTGCACGGAGCTCTTGAATGCTCTGTTGGAGTTTGTTTTCGTATTCCTGCTGAAGTCGTCCATCCACCTCTTGTATCTCAACCTGTCGACGAGACCGCATCTCTATAATCTCCTTCTGATGTAGCTGACTTGTAAATGATAATTCTTGATTCTTAGTTCGAAGCTGATTCTCAGCTTCCACTTTGGCCAGCGACTCTTGCTCAAATTTGATCCTCAGGTCATTAACTTCACGCGATAACCGAGCAATTTCTCCCTCAAAGTCCTATAAAAAATAATAATGATTTATAATCGATTATACGTTAAAAATTTAGTTATGATGACACTGCCTATATAGTCTAAAAGCATTACCTTTTTCTCTGCTACCAACTTGTCACGCTCGGAACCAATTCGACTGGCCTCTGCCTGCAATTCTGCCAAATTATTTTCCGCCTGAGCTAGGTTGCGTTGAATTGCTTGATGATCTTTTGACTTTTTGTCAAATCTAATAAAAACAAAAGTATAATATAATATGATACAACTTTAAGTAGAAAGCCAGACTATGGATCATGTACTGCATTCTTACTTCGAGCGGATATCGTCGTAATCCTTCTTCAGAGTCGAATTGTCATTGCTTAACTTATTTTTATCCCTAGCAGTTTCATCCACCAACTTACGAAGTGCCATGACTTCATTTTCATAGTCTGTTGTGATACGTGTGATATTTTTTTGTTCACTTTCCTCAAATTGAGTTATCTGAATAAAAAAAACACGAAATTAGGGAAATCACCTTTTAGTAAAATTCACAAATGAATTGAAAGGGTAAGTTTATAATATAAACTTTATATTGTTTACCTGTTTTTGGTAAGACTGGTTTTCATGTTCAAGATGTCGAATTCTGTCAATGTATGCCGCAAGACGGTCGTTCAATCCAGCAAGAGTATTTTTCTCTTGTATGCGGGATAGCCGAGTTGGCGTCATTGGACTTGAAACTTCAAACACACAAAAATACAAAGTAAATATGATAATATTTTCAATATTAGCTCGTAAAGTCCCTTACCGGACGAAGACGATGTCGGGACCTGAGGCGTAGATGATGTCGCCGCCGTGGTGGAACTACTTTGTGCAGAAGAACCCCTCGTTTTCGTCTTTGATGACATGATAAAGTGGTGATTGAATAATATCGACTAGTTAAATCAAACAAGACGGTACGTACAGTACGAATTCTGCAATTCAAGGTCAGGTATGTAACACTACTAATTAGTCAACTGAAAGTTTCCTTTGAATTGTAAAATATAGGCGCACACACGATAAGCCGTAGCGAATAAATACTGTAACCACAGAAGATAAGTGTATTTGAGAAGGCACGGCAGCCAACAAGCAGTGGAACTAGTGGAAGTGACTGAGAATGTGGTTCCGTGCTATATGTGGTGGTGACTGGTGCGGAGTGTGAACGTTGAGCGAGAAATAATGCGCTCCCAGCAACAACGCTTCTTTCTTCTGTAAACAAGGCAGGGCTTTGTCCCAAAAGTCGGTTCCCACTCCTCGCCCTGTCACCCTCCCGGCTCCATACCCACTTTTGGGACAAAGCAATGCCGGCTACTCAAACCTCCCGCTCCATTCCTCCAATCACACACCATCAATCACTGGCCAAACCCAGAAATTAATGGCTCTGGCTTGTCCGACCCTCTTCTTCTTATCTTGAGAAGAAGGCGTGCTTAATATGCAAATGTAATATGCACCGGAAGTCTGATGATATGAAATTACATCTTTGTCAATACAAATAAATATGCCCTCTCATTAGAGGGCGTATTTATAGGAATGATGTACAAAGTCACTCTTCGTCATACATAATGAAGATGTAGTTGATTAATTGACACTACTCTGTACTATGGCGATTGTATGATATAAAGATGTTTCATCGTCAGTTCTGATGTTATGTAAATGATATAGTTAAAGAATAGACTTTAATAATATAGCTAGTTAATTTATAATAGGTATAGTCTATATTCACAAATGACATCATACAAATTGACTTGATATTGTAGGAATGCATGACGCGTGGATTTGTTAGATTGCTATTTATTTCTGCTAGTAGTCATTACAAAAAAGAACAAAATCTGTGTCACCAATTGAATAATTAGCAGCTTTATTTGCTAATAATTAGCAGCAGCCACAAATGTTCTAGGAGTGTCATTTTCACGAGTCAGCCATGGAGGGATGATTTTTGCATGGACTCTCCATACTCCATACTCATTTGCAAGATGTTTTTCGAACACAACGTATTCCAAAACATCTTTGGAAATGACTTCACTTCCGTGAGAAAGACGTCCAAATCGGTCATACACCGCCAAAATCTATACGAAACGTTTGCATTTTACGCATTTGTTGTTTTAATAAAATGTAGTTTGAAATTAGACCGTTTCACATTAATTACTAATCATTACCTGTTTAGTAAAAAATCTACAAGTCACTTGTGCGAAAATATTTTCTTTTGTTATTACGTTTGTACATCTTGCATGAACAACCTTTGGGGGCTCGACGGATTCTAAGAATTTCCAATGGATGGTTTTATATTTCATATTGTAGATAACTTCAGGATACGCTCGTTCCGTGACTAGTGTTCTTAGCAAGTGCTTATCATTACTGAGGAAGAACAAAAAAGCATTACAAAAATAAAATTATTATTTGCTCAAATCCAGTGCATTATTATGCATATTAGCATGCGAGTTAAGATAATAGACTCACGCAGCAACTGCTTTGTGAACATTAAGATAAATTTCTTCAGCCCCTCGTAGAAACTCTTGATGGGCAAAATCTTCGTCAAACTGTCTTATTTTTCTAAACGCTAGCCACGACTTGCTCTTCTTGCTCACCATTTCGGCAGATTGTTTGGCTCCCTGGTAAAAATAAACCGATTCATAGCAAGATACCATACGAACCACAAATTACCATATCGTCGTTGAATATGCAAACTAGTGTGCTACTAAGGGAAAAAATTAAGTAAGTGTACCCTTATCAAATTTGCACTTTTAACGATAGTAAAGTAAGTATGTTTAAACGTAATCTCGTCTGTTGCTACCTCTTTACTAATGGCTGAGGCTTTTCCATCACCCTCTGGGGGGACATATGGCTCAAAAATATCCCCAGTTGATGAGATTTCAAAGGGTCTCTCCATCCAAGGTCTTCCTGGGGCGAGCCCCTTTTCCTTCATCTTGCTTCGCATTTCTTCCGGCGACAGGTGTTTGTTCTTCTCCAGTTCCTCAAAGTCGGGCAACTCAACTTTAATCATCTAGAATTACATAAATGAATAAATCAAGTTAATTGAAATTCAAGTTAGTGCGCAATGAATATAAGGCGTGAGACTCTGAAAATAACTTTGAACAATAATTTCATTTCATTGGACAGGTGTGTAAATTTGGTTTATGGTTCATATTTTATTAGTGAACCCAAAAATAATCAACAAGTGAAGTAACCTTCAATCGACGAAACCCTCTCCATTTGGGCAGCCAATGTTTGTTATTTTGTCTCTTATAACGAACTTGTTTATGATTGCATCCCCAAAATATAGAAGGCAGATTAGTCTGATAAATTTGGTTCTGTAACATTACACCTTTGCAATAATTTTGCAAAAGATTTCGTAGTGCCATTGTGTCACCTGAAGTCCTTAGTTTGTTGTTGTTTGATGCTACACTTTATAAAATTTTGAAATACTATCAACGAAAAATCTACATGATATTTCTAAATGTTACGTTATTTCGTATTTTGATTTATGAATCAAGAAGACAAAATGAAACTTTGTTGCTTGATCAACTTTGCTCACTTGTATTGTTGCCGGCTGTGAATTGGCACTGGGAGTGATGAGATTAGTCATCTCGTGAAGAAAATACAGAAGACCATGCATGGAACAAGATATAGACCATTATTGGAATTTATAGCTTTGCTTTGATGCCTGTAGTTGACTTTGCAAAAATTATCTACATTGTGTGGTTTTACATTAAATACGCAATCTGATCCGTAGCCATAAACTAAAATTAAACTCGTAAAATCATTATTTAATTTATTTAGAACAAGATTTATAAATGCAAGCTTAATAACGTTGGTACTTGATACTAAGTCTACTTACTAGTAAGTCTAATTTATAGTCTGTTGTTAGTTAGGCAGGTTTGGATGCTGACAATATAACACATATAAAAAGAATGGCTTTGTGGTTTTACGACCTGATACTGATTGACTTTGTTTTGTGGTACATAAGTTACAGTAAGGCACGACCATGAAACGCATTTTGACGCATTGTAACCATTGTATTGTTGGTTATGCATATAATTCCATATAATATATAGAATATTATATTATAATACATTAATAGTACCACATTGCACTTGATTCTAAGATAATATATAATTACAATTATTATAGTTGGATAATATAGAAAATAAATTAACCGTTATTATTTTAAAGCATAAACAGTAATCAACTCCAACATATTATAAATAACTATGCATATTAACAATAAATAGTAATAATAATACATCTCGGAAACAATTACATTAAAATACACGTATAATAGGTATGATTCTAAGAATAGAAAATTGCAAAACTAAAACTATTATATTATATTATATATCCAATTAGTAAGGAGATTGAAGTAGTATTGAAACATCCTAAACGAGTAGTTAATAATTATATACTTGTGTAGCTTTTTGTAGTTGGTACATACTTCGGTCAATAGCATACACCATTTTGTGTCCATTTGGTTTCCGACAGTCCTCAAAAATGGTTAATGGACTACAGTTTATTTATTACCAACTTCCTGGCGATATTTACCGCTGCATCTATGCTCTACTGCTTAGATGATCTCCGAGGGGGTACATCCTGATCCCTAAGGCTAGTAGATGTTTCAGTACTTTCTTTACGGGCACGTTTTCTTGCCATGCAATCGTCTTGCTCTATGTTATCTTCATTTTCATCTGATGAGTCTGATGAGCAAAAGGTAAAATATTAATTCATAAACATATACCACTCTTTCTATTAACCATCAAACGTTATTGAAAAACAATACAAGAGTAATAACAACAAGAGTTTGATTGATATAGGATAGAGTTATCATTAAAACCTTACGAGCTTTTGATGCAACTCTTGAGCTTCTTCTTGCAGGTTGTTTATCCACTTCAGACCCATCGCCATTTTCCTGCGTTCCAGATTCACCATCTTCCGTTGTTTTATCAATGTGAGATGATCTAATGTCGTCAAATAGGTCAAAAGATTTTTGCTTATTGTCCTTGAGCTTTTCACCCATTTCTATGGATGAAGACAAGATTGGCATATTGTCATATTCTCCGTCGTCGTCATCTGTAGAATCATTTCCTGGTAGTAATTGGTTCCTTTCGGAAATACTTGAAGATTTACTTGATATTCTTGATGCAGAAACTTGTAACTTATTGTCATTTGTATCCAATTCGTTGTCATTGCTCTTTTCAAGGTCGGGTAAATTACTGGTTGTGTCATTAGTTGCAACTGAATTTTGACTCAGGTTTGAGGACCCATCTTGTTTTTCTGTTTTGCTAGATTCCTTTTTGTTAAAATAAGAAGTGATTAAAGGATTTTGGGGGATTTCCGTACTGAGTTTACGTTTTGGAACACTTTTGGACTTTATAGCTCTGTTGGTAGAAGTGGAACTGCTTGCTTCTCTGGAAGCTTGTGGTGTTTTACTGGAAGGTTTCATTAATTTGGCATCATCTTGTGAACTATTGGTCGATGATTGATTTTGGGGGTTCGATGATGTTTCAGAAACAGCGAGATCTGGTTGTTGGTTAACTGATTTTTTTCCACCTCGTGAGCTCTTAGTTTCTGAAATTGATTTGACTGGAGAACCCCGAGCTTTAGGTTTATCTAGTTCTTCATACTCTTCAAATCTTTTTGGCTTTCTTCTTTGCCGTTTACCAGGGGAATCATGAACACTGCTGCCTCCCTCACCAAGTTGGCAAGGTTGGGTTGCCTGGTTGGGCTCCTCATCGGCCAAAACCGCATCTTCGTTATCCTTTGTTTTCGCGATTGTTTTGCCTTTTAACTTGGGTTTACTTTCGACTGAACTCTTGCTGACGCTTTTATTTTCTTCCGACAATGACAATGATGTTCGTCTAGAACTTTTTCGAATTGACGTTGATGGTTCCCCCATTCCTTTTTCTTCTGGCAGCTTCTTCGAAAGTGAATTATTTGCCTCAGATTTGGATTTCCCTACGATCCTACCTCGCTTCGGCTTTCTTTTTTCTGCAAAATTATTAATTACGTCGTATTAAAGCCAAAAGAATTGTTAATGTACTTTACACTGCCAACCTATTGATTTGAGGAAACAGTTCATCATCCTATCCACCCTGAAGCATTATTATATAAGAATACCTGAGGCTGCAATCTTCTTTCGCGAGGGACGGCTACCCAATTCCAATTTGGATTTGTCATCATCTGAATCGGACAAATCAACATCGGGCAACTGTGAAATCTCCATTGCATCTTCTTCGTCTACAACATTAGATGCATTAGATCGTTTTGGTGACGATTTTCTAGCAGTCTGATTCTCTTTTATAATGCTACTAGCAGCTCCTCCTTGATTATGTTTTTCACGTTTGGGACTTTTTAAATCTGCATGATACACGTAAGGTTCTCCAGCAACATCATAGTCGGCTGAGAGTAAATCAGTGTGGACCCAGCCCAAAGTATGCATAGCATCAATGACATCGCTCTGAAGGTCCTCAGTCATTCGCATTTCTCCAGTATATGCTAAATCCACAAGCAGTTGAACAATGCGTGTTGGCAAGTCTAAAACGTGAATATACGTTGTGTACCACGGAGGCTAGATAAGGAAGAGATGTGTAATGATGTTAGTAAAGTTATCTTTTGTACAATGAGGTGAAGCAATATTGTATAATAATTTGTCAATACCTGATCATCCAACATGTGCATAATGTACTTTGAAGCGTTTGATATAACTGAAAGAAAGTAACCCTTCATTAATTGACAAAGTTTTGCTAAATTTCAAAATACATTACCAAAAGAACATTACCAAGTCGATGACCATAAACGATTCCGTCTGAGCAGACAAAGACCAAGTCCCACTTGCAAGGATTATCTTCCTGTATAAGCAAAGGCACGTCAGGAAGTTCCACTGCGATTTTCTTGGCTTCCGTGTCGTCTTTATTGGGTGACCTCAGCTCCTCCAAGTATCGAATTCCACCCTCACTCAATAACTTCGCCATTTTATGATTATTTTTATACTGCAACCCAGCAAAAAATGTATTTATAAATATATTACATTAATTATTATTTAATAACGTTGTACTACAGTATAGTTGTTTTATTTTAATTAAATAAATCACAAAAGTGTAAAGTATAATATAAATACCTTCAACTTGAGGAAGAGGAAATAAGCGAGCCTTTTGTCGCCTTTTGAAATTTCGACTCGGAAAATGTTGTCGACCTTATTACTTCAATTTCCACTTGTATCAACTCGACTTATCCTTCCTTCCCACACCACAACAACGACGAAATAAATAACCGTTAGTTAAGTAAGTTAGGTAAACTATGAACTAAAGCACAACAACTTCAAACTTGCAAAGCGTTGTGATGTGCGTACAGTGTGTGAGTGAGTGATATAAAAAATGTGTTCCCCAACCCCGTCTCTCGCCCTCAGCCAACCAGTAGTTTTGCGGGGTATTTACAAATACACTTCAAACACAGAACAGTATTTCTGCCTTTTCAACGTTTCCAAAATAATATACATTGTTTTCCAATTGTCATATAATATTTAATAAGGACGAATTTTTCCGACTATATAAATGTTCCACATACCTACGAACTAGGAGAAAATGTCAAACGCCGCTACTCCGGGACAAGCCAAGCTACTTTATCGAGACCCAAAGAATAAATTATGCGAAAAGATTTGTCTAAATGTTCACTCATTTGGCAGTCTCGCGGAATCCATTGTTCATGGAAAGGAACAGGTATGTTACTTAATTAACAGCTACGAATTATGCAATTCACAATTTTAAGGGTTGTACGTTTTTCATTTTGACAATTATTTCAATTATAGCACCAACCTCTAACCCAAGCCATCAACAATTTCGTCTCAACAGAAAAACACATTGAAGAGTCTCATGAGGTTTGTGTCATTAACTAGTATTTTTAAGATATTGCGTTATTTTTTACCAATGACTAATGAACTTACATTGATATTGTAGAACTTGAAGAAACTTGCCGTTTTAAATCTACACATGACATATCAATATGACGCAATTAACAAGTTTTCTCAACAATTGGATCAGCTAAAGGAAGTTAGTCAGTCTATGAGAAGATGACCAGACCAAAATGCCTTTAGGAGTAACGATGCATGCGATTAAATCATCAATGGTCACAATTTCCACTAGGGACTTTCACACACAATATAGAGTTATTAGTTGCAATATTGAATTAGTTTATAAATTGACCTATATTTGAGCTACCTCGTCTATCCTTTCTGCCATTTAGTTTATGCTGAATTGGTTCAAAACAATTTATATGGTAGCCATGAAAATCGGTCTGACCTTTAAAATTATTCCTTTAATAATGGCCGCTAACTGGTTTAGCCAATAACTTGTATAAACTTGACGGACAACTCTAAATATCCTAAATAGCTATTCATTTTGACTGAAAATGGCAGAAAATCCAAACAATAAAGAAGATCCTCCTGCCTCATCGGAACCAATTAGCAATACATCAACCAACATTGCAGAAACGTTAGATCCTGAACTGGCATCAGAAGAACAAACCATACCACCAAATGCTGATACTCCGTCACTTTCGACAGGAGGAGCCTTGTCCGCTCAACCATCAGCAGAGCCACCTCAATCAGAATCAGCGGCATCTCAACCAGAATCAGCGGCGTCTCAACCAGAATCAGCGGCGCCTCAACCAGAATCAGCGGCGCCTCAACCAGAATCAGCGGCGTCTCAACCAGAATCAGCGGCGTCTCAACCAGAATCAGCGGCGCCTCAACCAGAATCAGGGCCGCCTCAACCATCAGCAGCCATTGAAGCTCCTCCCACAGGGCCTTCAGCAACTCAGCCCGAAGTTGTCGTACCCGCTGGAGACCCAGAAAAATCAAAAGTGGTTATAAGCGAAAAAATTACAGCATTTTCCGCTCCTCCATCATCTGCACCATCAGTTGTAGTGGTTGATGTATCTTCATCGTCGACACCAATGTCTCAAGATGGTAAGCAAATTAAAATTTAAGAGCATTGTGCTAAATTAATGTGATTACATATATTTGTATATTAATTATCCGAATTAAGTAGTGATTTTTCCAACCCACCAACATCGGCTTTTCCTCTACTCCCACTTTAGTGTAGTTTATATTTTATTAATATGTTTGTGTTACAATGTCATAATAATGATTATATATAAGTTTTCTTTATTATTAAAGCCATATTTTTAGCGTAATAAATAAATACTTAATTGTTGACTTGGGGAGTAGAGGGAAAACCCCTTTGTTGATGGGTGAAAACCTATACTTGATACGAAGTGGGGTCCATCACATCAGATTCGTCCACAATTTATATAATACGAAACACTTTCTCCAATCCTTTGAATTCTGATGTCACTCCCAAAATCCATGCAGCATTTCCCCTTTGTATGGCTAAACTTATACGTGTTGCAATAAGAATGAAGCTGAATTTGTTTCAAGTTGTTGGTTCTTACTAGGATCAATGCATTATGAAGATCAAAAGTGGGGATTGGATAAGGAACCACCATTTGTCGTTCGTGAGTGGAAAGCTCAGTCATGGGCGTCTTCAGCTGCTTCATCGGGAACAGCTATGGAAACATTTACAAAGTCGCTGAAATTTGCTACAGGTAAATTCATTGTATTTACGTGCATACAATGGTATTGCTAGAATTCGTATAATTCTAAGAAATAAATGTGTAGATGGATCAATGGCTCACGAGGACCAAGCTTGGAAATTAGATAGAGAACCAGACCAAGTCTCAAAAGATGGGGGTGCGGCGCCACCGACGGAGGCTCTCATAACTGAACCAGCTAAATTACCGGATCCACAACAGTCAACTCTATTTTCTGCAGGTTATAAATTATTTTGATTTCGACCACAGAGTTGGATCTTACCTAAATATCCCACTCTGTGATTTCGACTCCATCCGTTATCATGCATACAACATTATGTATGATCTATACTTTAGATGGGTCGTTGGCTTATGAAGAGCAGCCTTGGAATTTAGAACGTGATCCTACCAAATCAGGACAAAATGTACCATCCAATAACATCGGCAACCTTGCCACTGGTTGAATAAATACAAAACTTAAACTAAAAATCTACATACGTGCATATAATTTATTTTTGGTTCGATTATTTAACAGATGGCTCAATGGCATATGAAAATCAACCCTGGGTGCTTGAAAAGGACACCTCAAAGGGACAAAATAAGGTACCACCATCCGTCAACATTTCGGATTTTGCTTCAGGTCAGGGTTTTATATTATACTTACACTAATGCTGAATATTTAATTATTAATCCAATTTATCTTGTGAGCTCTTGTGTGTGAATTTTATGATAAGTTTTGTTCATAGATGGTTTAATGGCATATGAAAATCAACCCTGGATGCTTGAAAAGGACACCTCAGGAGGAGCAAGTAAAGGACTGGGATCCGTCAACATCAAGGATTTTACTTCAGGTAATTGTTTTATATCATACTTAACTCAGTTTTTTGTATTAGACTTTTCATGATATTAAAGGTTTTGTTCATAGATGGTTCAATGGCATATGAAAATCAGCCCTGGATACTTGAAAAGGACACCTCAGGAGGCGCAAGTAAAGGACCAGGATCCGCCAACATCTCGGATTTTACTTCAGGTAAGCGTTTTATATTATACTTATCTCAGTTTTTTGTATTAGACTTTTCATGATAATAAAGGTTTTGTTCATAGATGGTTCAATGGCATATGAAAACCAGCCCTGGGTGCTTGAGAAAGATACCTCGGGACGGGGTGCAATGTCTAGTCTTGCATCAGGTTTGCATATGTATATTATGTAATTGTTTTATAACGAGAGAAACTTTATTTACCTTGTTGGTTTCGATTTTAGATGGCTCAATGGCTTACGAGAATCAACCCTGGAAACTTGAACGGGACCCTTCACGTTTTAGCACCAATGGTCCTTCAATTGCATATTTTGAATACTCTCTTAAGGTGAATTTATCAGTGTATATTTAGAAGTATTTGTAGACTTAATGCAGAGTAAGCATAGTTTATGTATAATCATGTTCACCCTGAGAGCAATATATTATGATACGGCCATATAATGCATACACAATTATCATTATAATAGGACGGTAGTCGGAACCCAGTTCAGACCCAGACAGATGCAGATGGAAATCCGTTTGAAAATGTTTGTAAAGGTACTCATTGTGTACATACATAAATATGTCATTATCCAGTCGTCTTGATTGTATACTGTACATTTCATTTATATTTATCAGGTCCTGATATGAAAACGGGAGATTGTGGTAAATGTCGCGTTGCGGACGAATGCTTCCCAAACCAAACAGAATGCAATGTACAATCTAACAAACCTTATTTTATTGATGGTGCTTTTCGCCGTTGTATTTGTATCAATTACTCATAAAGTGGGTTTGCAGGATTTGGAGTTTGGCCAACTCGTGGGGTTCGCCCAGGATTTTGTGTACGAAACTAAACAATTGGGATGGTATTTCATTTCGCAGTGTTTAGAATGGTTGAATGACGATAAATGCGACCCTTGTGTTTGCCGTGATGGAAATCAGAATGAAGTTTCCACAACGAAATCGGCGATTAACTTGAACAAAGTAGCAGTGTCTGAATCAGCATCTAAAGGTATGCTTTAAAAATTAGCGATGCATTTGATGACATAATATAGATCGTTGTTGCCACTTTTTATAGCAGACTTGATCGGCAATGGTCCTTCCATTAATCCCTCAGGTACTATTTAAAAAAATGTAATTTAGATGTTGTAATATAACCGTTTAATAACTTCTTTTAGATGGGTCAATGGCATACGAAAATCAACCGTGGGTGCTGGAAAGGGATCCTGCTCAAGGCAGCGTTAAAGCACCTACGTCTTCACGTTTTGGGTTAATTGAACCTCCTGCATCAGGTAATGTATTGACTTGAAAAATGCAGTGTAAATATTGATCATGTTATATATTCTGTAATCATGTGTTTGCTTGGTTTCATCAAGATGGATCATTGGCTTATGAAAATCAGCCTTGGGTTCTTGAAAAAGATCCAGTACAAAGTGGAGGCGTTAACGCATCTTCAAGTAAGGTCGTGGGAGCTCCATCGGGTGAGCATTTTTTTAAAATTATAACAATGTATTTTTTTCAATTCATGACCTATTTTGATGTTCTCAGCTACATCGACAGTCAAAACCCTTCAACCTTCTCAATCGTCTGTTGGATTGAATACTGCAGGTGATACAATTTGACCGCCCTTCGACAAATCAATATTCACTGTTAGGTGTTATGAAATATAATTGTTTGTTTATTTATGGTTCATTTAAGACGTGGAAAGCAAGGAAAGTAAGACTGTATTGCAAGAAAAAACTCCGTCTAAAGCTGACGGAATAGCAGCAGCAGCAGCAAGCGATGTTGCACTTGTACCTTCAGGTCGGAAACATAATACATACATATGAATACATATATATGTACATATACTATAGTATGTGGTTTATTTGAAACCCATAACGATATAATGGCTAACTGCATAAAATATTTTAATAGTTTATATATATGCTTCCAGATGTATCTTTTGAAGCACAATCTTGGACACTAGAGAAGGATTCCTCTCAGACGACTGTTGGAAATATACTTTCACTTGAGCTGGCAACTGAAATATCTGACCCCCCGAAAGAAATCAAGGCCGAAGATGGTTCAGCAGAAGCTAGCTCTCCACCGCCACCCGATTCTCCTCCAACTCCTACAGATGAACCATCGACAACAAAATAATCGATTGCTTGCTAAAGCTTGCAAACACTTTTATAGAATCATATTAACCCTTTAAAATAAAACTTGTCGTCTATTCATACAATTAAAATTAACCTAAGCGCATTGGGATCATTTTTATTTTGATAATGACTATGGATTGATTATTATTATGATAATTGACTATGGATGAAGCTATAAGCTTGATTTGGTAAAGATCGACAAACATTTACAAACACAGTCCATTAGTCGGTACATATTAACGTAAGAATTGCGTCACATTTACTGTAGATTGGCTACAGGAAATGACCTGAGTAAGAAGCAGTATATTTAAGTAAATGAGAGTTACGTAGACAGAGTAAAAATGGATTTTCACAGATCTCATACATATATCTTACATTTAAGATTCTACCTTGAAAACTTGCGGTCAGGTTGCAACATCACATATTATTGCGCAACACTTTTGCATAACCACAAGCAGTGTACAGACTACAGACTCGTCATTCCCACGGAATTATTGGCAGAATTTATGTACAAATTATCAAGATATCAAGAACTTACCTTGCAACTACTAATAAACTCTGGCCGCTTAATGTGTCGCAAGCGGAAAATCCTCAAACTTTTTGCCCATGACGTCAGACCAGAGTAGAATTTTCTAATCTGATAAACAGTCAACTAAATAATGGCTTTAACAGTCAAGGAGCAGTCGGAAGTTAGACTCAGTTTCTATTAAGTCGATAATTGTTGCACGTCCTATTAGTGAATCTGTTATTGTCACATCTTTATAATGGCGGAACAACAAGTCCTGCATAGGAACGGTCATCGTAATGGAGTGGGATCGCGAGCGGCTCGAGTACCCGTTTCCGTCCCTTCACCTAATTTACTCGAGTCAGTCAGCCCCACGCTCCTGCTAATTGTCAGATATGGAGTTGTCAAACCGATTCTTTCCGTAATTTGGGCTATCACCCACCTCATCTACGTTCTGATTCATAATGTCGACTTGGCCCATAGTTTTCAAACATGGATGGCCTCAGGAAGAAATTCAAAGCAGGATATACTGATTTTGACGAAAACGAGTCAATTTGAAAAATTTCCAAACCATGTGGTGATTGCAGTGCATAATTACGATGACACCGTTCAGAACATAACGGTATGGCTCGAATTAGTATTTTTATTTTATTTTATACATAGATGAACAATAACATAGTGCGAATTTCATAAAATTTTGTAGCAATTGAGTAGAATAATTTGCTGGGCGTGGGTTGCCAACATCAAGGTGATAAGCTTGTATGAACCAAAAGGTATGAAATGAAAGTTATCAGTAGATACATTTCAAATAAATAAATACGTTGTAGATTCCATCTTTCCTGACTTTTATGTATGCATGACGTTTTTATTATTTTATAATGACTTGGACTTTTTAGGAATCGTCAAGTCTCAGGCGAAGAAACTTTATGGAATGGTTGAGAAAGCCTTGCAGGAAGCTTGTAGGGAATTAAAAACTGGTGGAATTGTTGGGAACAAAACCACTCCACCAATCTTGAAGTTCTACAACAGTGGCGATGAAGAGATGGATAAGCTTTCGAATGAAACTCAAAAACCTGACGAAGCAATCAGCCAACAACAATCACTTCCAATTTACTTTTGCTGTGAAAAGGATTGCAAATCAGGAATTGTTAATGCTGCAAGAAATCTTTTTGAAAAAAAGGCAAATGCAAAACCCACGCTCAGTTTACCAGAAGCGTTGTTCAACAAGGATTTGGACGCTGCCACCCTCAATAGCGCAATTAACAAGCAAATTGGGTGGCCCGAATCTGAACCAAACTCCGAGCCAGATCTTATGATGGTCTTTGGGAATATAAAATCGACACTGGGTAAGTTTTATGAGATTGAGTGTAAATTCACTGGATCTGACTTCAATTTGGAAATACTTAATATATATGTATATATATATACTTAATATATATAGTATACTTTAAATTCTATAAATACACGTTGCAAAGTATGCTTTCTCATGAAAAGCCAATTTAAAAAAAAAAATGGTATTTTCTTTTTTTGACAGGTTTCCTGCCATGGCATATTCGGCTCACCGAAATTCAGTAAGGATATATGCATTTCAAGCAGCTAATATAATTAATATTATATTAATATTATATTATATTAATATTAATTGATATTATATTAATATTATATTATATTAATATTAATTGATATTATATTACTTTTCACTGATCACTCATTTTTTTGCAGTTGGCTTCCACCAATTCAGAAAATCAGCCCTTTGAACTTTTACGGTTCACTCCAAAAATATTCTAAATGTGAACAGCGGGTTGGTAAATAAACTAAAGTGACAGGATAAATTGTCGTTTGTCGTTATTATTATTACAAAGACGTTATATACATAACGGTGAATTGAATGCATACATAAAACATTCGTCCCAATAAATAAATAACTAACCATGATCTTTCAATTTATGCCTCGCGTCTTTGTTTTTATCTTCTGAATCACTTCCCATGCTCTGCATACCTATATACACAGACATGTTCGTAACACGTAGTTAAAATATGTCCAGCTTGCGTCATTTGAGTCAACTAGATAATTGTAGTTTTCCCACGCGTGTAGTAATTAATGGGAATCTAAAACTAGTTACCTCAAGGCTAAGAAATAATTTGTTGACATTTGTCTGCGTAATTAATTTTTCCTAAGAAAAACTTATTTTATTCCTAAGAAATGTGTATGTTTCTGTCATGTTTCTGTCCATGCATATTCAGTCTCTATAAACATCTCATCATGTATTTACCATGCAGCTTGCTGACAACAAAGACGATGATAAATATTGTTGCATTGAAATGAAATAATTAAAGTTTGAGTTAGGGAACAGTCTGGGCATCCTAGTGAGCGAGTTGACTTTTTCTCCTCGCCACTTACCAGTAATGTAAATGATTTTTGTCACTAAGACTTCTAATTTGCAGCTAATACAAAATGGATTGATTTCGTTTTGGTGGCAATAAATTCCCAAGTTTGTGCTTTACAATTGCCATGTTGCATAAATTCCATAATAAATCTCAGAGAAAAGTATTGAACTGAAACATGATATGAGTCCATGTTTCAGTTCAATACTTTTCTCTGAGATTTATTATGGAATTTATGCAACATGGCAATTGTAAAGCACAAACTTGGGAATTTATTGCCACCAAAACGAAATCAATCCATTTTGTATTAGCTGCAAATTAGAAGTTTTAGTCGAAATTTTTCTCCTTTTCTGGTTCGCGATGCCCCGTTTGGAGAGTGGGAACGGTCACTCTCAAAACCCAAAGCAACTTTTTACATGCAACTGCCTGCATTGTTTACATGAAAATCAGCTGCTCTCTTCGCCCCGCCCCCCCTCATTAGCAAAAAATCTCTCGGCACACAAGGAGACGCAACCGTCGTCTCTGTCTTTTAGTTATGAGATTTTTTCAACGTATATGCCTTCTTAAGTCCTCGCAATCAAGTATAAAATACTGATGATTTGGTACGATGCATGGACCATAACTTCAATTTCAGGTCATGCTTTGACTTGCATCGGCCACCGGAAACTTGAATTATTTCAATTTATTTATTTACAATAATGTTGAATGTGGCGTGGGAAAATTGCATCTGAGTCGGAAAACCCCAAATTGATAACATTTAATTTTTTCACAAGTGCTTTTTGCTTTAATCAATTAATATATACTTTACACAGGTACAACGTCCAATATTTACATGTAGCTAGATTTTTTATAGGTTTCAACTTGTTCTGCAAGTTTAAACCACAAATTGTGGTGAGAATAAGTTTGCACGCGTAATTTATTCAAGTATCACAGCTATGTACATACATACTTCTATACTAACTGGTAACTGGAACTGGGAGACAGCTAATCGTAGAATCTTAAAACAAGGACCGACCTCACTTACTTATCATGAAAGAACCAAACTAATGCATGATGAAGTAGCATGCTAATTTCAATACTAATACCATTTAGCAGTGATAGCTGAAGATCGTCGGAGCTTTGTTGCAGCCATTTCTTGAAGATTAAATTGCATTAAAGTAAACCAGCTACAGGACACAATTTTCATAAGATGGAGCTTACCCAGACAAACAACGCCAACAAAACTGAAATGGATCAGAAGGAGGAAGAGTGCCTGCGTACGGTGTACAAAATGATGGAAGGTAATAAAATATATGCATGATCTGAAAAATATATAGATATATGTATCAAACATAATACAACAATCAGAAAATTTGTAGATGACTTTGCTTTGAAACCCATGAGAAAACATTACACTGATTCCTTCATGCTAATGTCCATTCGTTCGTACCAGTATGATGTCATGAGCGTTTTTCGAGTGGTATTAATGAGTATTGCCTAATTATTGAGTAGATTAATTTTATGCACATTTTTTCCATTTACATCTTTCTTTACTCTGATTTCAACAGATAAAATATCTGCACCTATACTCCACAGAAGTGTATCCTGACCTATTCTCATGCGTGAACTTGACAAAGTTGAAACCAGTTTTAGACAAACAAATATTCCAATTTGTAAAAACTTTTCGTGATGATTCTCCTGGAATAATAATGCTCAAAATAAGTATGTCACAATTTATATATGTAATAACTGAAAATTCTGATTTGATTATATTTAATAACAAATACTTTTGTCTGATCTTAAACTAATAAGGACGTTGGAAACCTAGTGAAGTCTCCCCGGATGAATTGATTGCTGTCGGAGTTGCTTACATTTACCACCTGGCAATGACGTCATTAAGTGCTCAAAAAAATGGTGTTATCGTCATTGTGGATACAAGTGGCTTTGGTTTTGGTCATGCCCGACAAATTTCGTACGATCTTACAAAAAAAATAATGCACTGCCTCACTTTTGCATCCCCAATACGCATCCTTGGTTATGTTGCCATAAACAGTCACATGCTGTTTGAGAAGATGTACAATGTCATGAAATTCGTAATACCGGAGAATGCTCGGAAAGATGTGAGTCACGAACGAAATTTTATAATTATTTAATCTGCATGACTAATAAGCAAATAAAATAAGTATTAAAATGTGTGGCTAAATGCAGATTCACATTGTGAAGACCGACCTCTCACCACTGTATAAAATGGTTCCTTCCAAGGAACTGCTGCCCGTCTGTTTGGGAGGAGAGGTGCCTGACGACCTAGGATTTCTTGAAGGTATTGAAGAAGCAGTCATGAAGGACCCCTCTCTTCAGAATTTAATCGCTGAGGTGCAGAAAGAGTGTAAAGTGAAAAAGACAAGTCGCTAACTCGATGCATGAATGACACTAGAATTCATATTCCATTGTATGCAGCAGCTTAGGATTAGTGTTATGTTGTGTATAGTATGCACATTTGATTTATTCATCAAACTCTCATCATCATCCTTATCATTCATCAAATTGCAATGAATGATAACTACAAAACAAAATATTTTGAGTCTTTGTTTGATACAATTGTAAAATCCCATAAAACTTGCCACGAATGCATCTTTTTTTGAAAAACAATATTGCCCAATTTATTATAGTAAATACCCAGTTTATGGAAGTATGTGTAACATGTAGTACTGTGATAATATACGGAAACAGTATATACACATTATTTAGTGTGTGCATTTAATGTGTCAACTGTCAATACTTATTTAAGATGAGAATAAGTAAACTGATAATACTACTAATTACAATTAAGTTACTGCCAAACTGAGCTAATAAATTTCACACAAAGTATAATTAATCTCACGAAATCAATGCTTCTTTTACATTCTTTAAATTGAAATTCACCTACCATAATAATGAATCGCACACACTATTTTTATCCACACTACTACATATGTACTTCTAAGGGCGATGATACACAATTATAGTATTCCTCATGTTGTTTCAGTAGAAAATAGGTATTATATGATTTTATGTGATCATTAAAATCAAAAAACCAAATTGAAATTGATTATTGTCTTTTTCACATTCGGCAATGAGGCGAACACTTGATTAGTTGTCATATCCTTCATTAAGTTATACATGATACGGGATATACATATGTAAATATTCCAATATTATAACTTTTTCTTACATTAAGAAATCACATCTTGTCTTTATAATAATAATTAGCAGATTAGGATTGCTTGCATTCGGTCGGAAATCCGAGTACATCCATAGTCACCGTATGGGACAGTGGTGACCTTCGGCCGTCCCCACCTTTGCTAGAAGATGACGCTTTGAGAGTGACACTCACTGAAGGGCGACTAGGCGGGTTGGGGAGAGCAGGATGATGCTGTGGTGGCCTCTTATTCGATTCCTTATTTTCTTCTGATTCCTCCGTGCCAGAAATAATGCATTCTCCAACGGGTCTCAAGGTCGCCTTATGAGTGACTTTGCATGGCGACGATAAAACTGGAAGTGCACTGTTGAGAAGCACGCTAGTTGTGGAACGGTTGTGCTTCAAATGGGATCGGACTAGATGGCCGGCTGCTAATGCGGCCAGTAGTGAAAGTTCTCCTGCGACAACGGTACCACAAATGATCCTGGCTAATAATGCTATTTAAAAGAATAAGAGTAAATTACTAAAACTTGTATTCTTTATAGATAGATACAAAATTAAACGTGACTAGTTAATAAAGACCTACCAGCTTGGTGCCCTGGTTGCCCTTCAATAGTTCCTTTTACACCAAGCATTTCTAAGCATGCAGATTGAGGTCCAAGAATTGTTCCACCTCCAATAGTTCCCACCTCTATTGACGGCATGGAGCATGAAATGTATAGATCTTCACTATTTTCGCCATAAGGCTCCAGTAAAGTGATACAATTACTGCTGGCTACATTTTGAGCTGGATCCTGCAGTTCAAATTATTTTAAATTTTACAATCATAAATGAGCTAGCTGATGAATCCTAGTGTAGGAATTTTATGGAGGGACTCGACTTATAAATTACCTGTCCAGTAGCTATAAATATAGCGGTCACAATATTTGCAGCATGGGCATTAAACCCACCGATGGCACCTGCCATGGCTGAGCCTACCAAGTTTTTGGCTATGTGCACTTCAACTAGTGCGTTAACCGTGGTCTTCAATACGTCCTTTACAATTTTGGCAGGCACAATGGATTCAGCTATTACAGATTTTCCCCTTCCTTCGAATAACGGAACAAAACTTCATTAAGTATCGCATAATTAATTTCAAAGGTCTATTTCATTACCTTCAATCCAGTTAATAGCTGCCGATTTTTTGTCAGTGCAAAAATTTCCACTAAGAGATATCACGTCCATATCTGGAAACACGTCTTGAAGTCGCTTCAAAGCTATTTCAGTTCCTTTCGACACCATGTTCATACCCATTGCATCGCCCGTCTTGGCTGTAAAATACAATTAAATGGTTAATATCATGCATATTTATGTCTCTAGTTCATGATGATGGGGTTCAATACATTAATTACAATCATGAACATTATTGGTGATAAACAGGGGAAATATGTCAGATATCAACTTGGGTATCATAAGTTAGTGCCGGTATTCGTTTGCATTAGTTCAGTTCAGAGAGGTTTCCGGTAAATAAAATGAGAGCTTACCCACGAAACGAGCGAAAAGGAATCGTCCAGCAATCTGATAACACAATAAATTAAGTCATAATTACACATGGATTTTTTTCCACATTGTACTTTTGAATTTAAAAAAACTTTTTTATTTACCCGACATTGGATCTTTTCCAATCTTGCAAATCGACTTGTAGAATCAAATGCTTTTTTAATAGATTCAAAATTTTCAGTCACTTCCAACCACTGCATAGCATCACCAGCTTGCATTCCAGTAGGAAATCGGACAACTGGACCTCTACTCATACCATCACTAACCACCCGACTACTGACGCCGCTATCCAAAAGAGCTCGACATCCTCGATTTGTGCTAGCGACTAAGCACCCTTCGGTTGTAGCCATTGGGACGTGATACATGTTACCATCAAGTTTCAAGGGCCCAGCTACACCCACCGGTAATGGAACATACCCAATCACATTTTCACAACACGCCCCCATCACGGCCGAATAGTCATAGTTTTGATATGGAAGATTTTGCAGGGACGTGGAAGAATTTAGGGTGTCTGCAAGCAATTTTCTCCTAAGAAATTCAAAGAAACAATTACTCCAAATGTATTTACTTCATTCAATTTGACTGTTCTATCAATCTTATTGCTTGCCAAAATAAACAGTGTTTTTTCTACCTGATCTGTACACCACGTTCCAAGTCATCTACAGCTTTCTCTAACTGGTACGCTGGAATGTGTTTGGCTCGTACAAGCGCTTTTATCTCATCGTCGGTTAATGCTTTTGCACCTTTCTCTGAAGTGTAAATCTCCAAGCACGTTTTTACGTCCCGTGGGGGTGGTTGAAAGGAGGATGCGCCTTTAACATGGCTTGGTTGCTTGTGGTGACGGTGTTGGTGATGACCCCCAGAAAGCCTATCCGATTTTTGAATGCAGCTGCTCACATCCTCCTCAGAATCTCCGACCGTGAACTTGATCTTGGACAAGTTCGAAGACAGTGAGTGATCATGATCGGACTCATGACGAGGGCGGTGAGTTGCCACACTGTCCCCGATGTCCTGCTCTGCATCAAAGTACGTCTCAGGGGATGAAGCTGGGGATGAGGGTGACCCCTCACGTATCGGCGAAGCTGAGGTGTAGGAGGATGCCATGTCTCTCTTTTTCGGCTAATACGTTTTACTTACTCTGCAATCCAAAATAAAGTAAATTAGTATTAAACGTAGAAATAAATATTAGTTATCCTTAAATTAAGTATAGTTGGAGCGAATCAACTTGCCAATATTGAACCTTTCTCAAACTTGCTACTTTTAAAGCTTATATTAAAAAACAGGTTATTCTCATATTCATTATCCTTCCTTCTCATTCACCATTTTCTATGAAACAAGTTTCTAATTAGTCATGAACATGAACTATGAACTTGAACAGCACCAACTAAATGGATTGATTGAATTTACTAGATGCAGCAAAATCTTGTGTAGAGTAGACACTCTCAACAAAAAGATAATAATTTAGAATTTGTCTATAAATCAAGATTAAAAATTGCCATATTCCTGTGCACGAAAATTTGTCATTCATTTGCACGTATTGCTCGTTAAAATAGTTATTAATGCATGTAAAACAGATGGACCACAGTTGTATTGTTGTATATAGTGGGCAAAGGAAAATATTGTTAAACTATAAAAGAACAAATTTAATTAACCTTAAATTAAATTTATTACCGTCGTCAGTTCCAATAATCCTACCTCCAACGTTAACACCACTTCACGTCACACTTCCATAGCTCTGTATAGAGTCGACTTACAGTTAACTGACATATTTCACAGCTTCGTAAAAAAGAAGACAGGTTTTTTTTTCTTCCGGAATTTACAGATTTACGTCTACTAGTGAAAAAATCAAAGTCTATGCATTGTCTTTATTCGACTACGTCTCCTGTTTCTGTATGTCAAACTATGAAGTTAATATTGATTAACTTATATTTGAAGAGATCAGATATGCAGGCACCCAAGACAGATGCCGGATGGGCTATTATTATTGCTGACTTTGCTGAGCTAGCTAACATAAATATGTATGCATTGTTTGATTAATATTCCCACGAGAAATGTGCAGTGTTGTGGCTTATTCGGAACTTTGCCTCATCGTCAGTCCATTACTTTTTGTGTATAAAGGTTTAAACAAATAGACAGCATCATCACAAATTATTCGTCACCTTATTTGTTCACGTGCTACATAAATGTTCAATAATGGTCAACGTGGCGTATACCCATATATTTTTAATTTAACCTTTCTTCGGTGTATACTGGCACTTCTTGGAAGTAAGCTAACGTATGTACTAGAAGAAATGTCCCTGCTAACTAAAATGGCAAACACATCAATACATCAACTTGACGCGATGCACATTTTAATGAAATTTTGTGACTCGTTTAAATATTTGCTTCCTATAGAAAGAGTCGTGTATAAATTCGGCTCGAGTAGTGCATGCATATGTATTACGATAATGATTCATGCCCTGATTGCTTATTCAGCAAAATAGAATGCAATATTATTGTAAACCTGACAAGACGAATTGTGTTTTAATATAATACTACATGTACAGATACTGAACAATAAATAGACCATTAAACATTACCATTAGCTAGAATCAAGTAGGACCATAGCCACCACGACAGCAAAACCATTGCATTGCTCGTTCTTAATAACACTTTGCACTTGTGTCTTGTTGTGTGTCGCACAATTTAATACACACAAAGAATTAAATCAATGGATGATGACGATGATAAGAAAGACATGAAGCCTCGAGGAACAGGATGTGGTTGCCAACCTGCAGAAAATGAATCAAAGACCTTCGTTTGGTGGGTCTAATTTTTGGCATATAGACATCCTAACTTCCTATTATGCTCTACTCTGTTCCCTATTTTCTATACACCGAGAAAGCTTGTGATAGGAGACGAATGAGCGCAAAAGACATGACGTAATACAGATCACAACCAGAGGCAACCCACTGCAAATCCTGGCTAGGATTGAAACTCCACCCAACCGACCGACCGACTTTCTCCGGTTTTGCTACGTATTATACACCTGGGAATGCACGTGACTCATGCAACACTAGGATAAGGAACATCATTTTACTTACTTGAGAAAAATTAGAAAAAAAAGATTCGCTGGTGAAAGGTTAAGGTGATGAAATTAAATGCCTGGCTTACTGCAACCCACTGTCAAGTTTCACGATTCACTTGGAGACTCCAAGTTGGAGTGTATTAAATAAATTTTAAATAATATTCACAACAATCACAACTCATGACTCGAGTCAAATGTAGCAATGCGTTTCTTAAAACAATTCACACCCATCTAAATAGGATAAACTGTACAAGATTATATCCACTTCTGGAGCAAACAAGAGTGTGACTACTTGTTTAATGACATATTGTAGGGTACTTTTAGTATAAAAATTAGGAATGCCACATGCCACTTAAAAAACTTGAATGTTCAAAGTGCATGCAGAATTTTCAGAGGAATGCCTACCTGACACCAAAAGGATATGCATAACACGAAACACGATGGAGGTTGACAACTTTACATACAGTGTTGTATTTATTATTATAACCAGAATATAGATAACTACCTTCAATATCTGGAAAACCCCAGGTAACTATCGTCAGATTCACCCAAAGGTTACCTGCATGGGCATTCACGTGCGTAACAAGTCTCGCCTGAAAATGTACCCACAGATGCTACATTATTTACTATACATCTATGCTACAAAAGTAGATCATGTATAACAGCAATTAAATTATTATCTCAATACATTTACAATGAACTAAACAAACCAAATGTAAAAGTTTTAGCCATATTCATAGATCTAACTAAATGTTTTGATTCGATTCCACATCAAGAACTTATAAGGAAACTAATATATAATTTTAAATTAGAGCCATGGTATATCACAATAATTAATGAACTATTTCGCAATCGGTTATTTAGGATTAATAATGACAGAAAATACCACGTAATGCGGAGAGGCTTATGCCAGGGCTCGGGACTTGCTTCATTATTATATAGTTGTTATTCAAATGACGTCACAAAAAACCTATTATGTAACACCTTATTGTATTCTGATGACATGGTTATATATAAATCTGGCACTGATATAGATTTGTTAAAAAAAGAACTAACCAATGAACTCGTGAAAGTAAATGAATGGTGCAAAGAAAACGGAGTAAATATGAACTTTGATAAAACCAAATTTATGATATTTAAAAAACCATGTGACAAAACGTGTGATAAAATAAGTAGCATTAAACTAAATGATGACATTGAAATTGAAAGGGTTGTTAGCTTTAAGTACCTTGGTGTTATTTTAGATCCTCACATGTCCTTTAATTTACACTATGACCATGTTGTAAAAAAAGTAGCAAGTAATCTCAAATTTATGTACGGTATAAGACGCAACCTTAATGACCATGTGATGAGAATAATGCTAAACGCGTATGTACACTCAGCAATAGACTATGCATTAGAAATCTGGGCAGTCCAACCACAACAGAAATTGAAATCACTGCAAAACAAAATCGACAGATTCCTAATCGGTTATTTCTATCCGATAATTGTAAGGAAAAGTAAGAAAAAAGGAAGAATTAAACTAAATAATATTGATGCGAATGTAATCAGAGCGAAATGCAAATTCCTGACTGTCTCTGAAAGACGCGACTTTGTTACATTAAAGGGTGCATATAAAGACTACAAAAGAAACAAGCTATCTTTATCACAAAGAACAATAACAAATTGTAAACCCTTAATAGCCAGCCATAATGTAAAAGCTGAAATTTACAAGAAATCAATAGATCATAGAACCAAAATATTATGGAATGATCTACCGAGATCACTCAATATCTCCGAAATGAACGACACTACTTTTAAAGAAGAAATAATGGAAATCATTGTACAGAAAAGAACTGAAGAATTTTTATACTATTAACTAGTTAGCAATAATTAGTAATATAGAATAGTTAAATATATGGTATATGACCAGTGTGTCACCAGTGGTAGACCATTGTTGTTGTACTTGTACGATAAATGCAATGAATTGGGAAAGACACAGTAATAAAGATATACATACATACATACATACATACATACAAATATTGACTTGCACATAGAATAGGGCACTAGAAAAAACTATTTTTAATCCCCTATTCTAGAGAATAGGCACTGGAATAGATTATTTACAAAAGTTTTTTTTGTATTCTGTAAAACCAATTAAAAACCGAATTTCCATTTTACCTTGCACAGGTCTTAAATTTTATACAAAATGGGTCTTAAAACAAAATGGGTCTTAAATTTTATACAAAATCGGTTTCATCACACTCGTAAATCGGTTTTTGATTTTTATTACGAAAATCTACGGAGCTACGATTGACCATATTTTGCATTTGATGCATTTGATGCATATTTGATGCATCAAATGCTTTTGATGCATTCATTTGATGCATTTGATGCATGCTTTGAATATTTGATGCAATCCATATTTGATGTATTTGCATTTGATGCAGAATTAATTGTCCTAAAATATTTTTTTAAATATTGTTTAATTTTTGTCATATTACTAAAAGATAATACAGTGATATGGTAATTCTACCGTCAACCGTAGTATATTGAATGTACTATATTCATTGAACATGTAAAGTTGATCTAAAATCGATTTTGCGAAATCGGAAAAATCGGAAACCGGTTTTTTAAATCTTCTGATTTTTGATAGGCATGTTAAGTAAGTTATAGGCATAGGTAAGTTATATTCCCGTCCATAATGTTATACTTTGTCATATATTACAATAACTTTTTCCCGGCATCATGTAATTACCGTAATTTTATTTCTCGATAAATCATTTGATATTTGAGAAAAACATGAAACTAGACAAGAACTTGTTTTGATTTATTTTTTAAGTTGCACTACAGAATTTTGAAAGTTCAAATTAGAATTTTTATCATTTACGTTGCCGTACATGGGGAACTGACTGAACATTTATTAAGTTCCTTACTAAACTAACGTAATAAATAGCTACTTAAAGGCAAAGCGTTTTTTAAATATCTCACTCAGCCAATAAAATCATATTTACTTCTTTCGCTAATGTTTAATCAATACTCTGCATTTATGATAACATTTGTTATAAAATCTAACACAAAGCCCGCAATGATAAAATTGATAAAAATCTATAGTTTTTATTAAAGGCAATACATTGATAAAATATTACTAGTAGATACCCTTACAATTAGTCGGCTTGAAAAATCAAAATTGATAAAATTGGGAAGTTAGGTACTAAAATTTAGTTTCAGTACTTTCATTTGGTTGGTATTGATTGCATTGCCTGTAGATTATGTACCAACATGCATATAAAATACGTATAGTTATTACTTCAGTCATCAGTATGCAAAAAATTGTTAATTTCATCAAACCTCTATAAAAATGAAATATTTTTTATCCATATGCATTGTAGCCCTAGTTTCGAGTACATATAAGATATGTCACCAAATTCAGAGAGTATTCAAGGTTGCTTGACACCTTATCAAAAATATCAGAAATAATAATTAAATTAAAAATAAGGCATCAAAAATAATAATCACCAGCTGTAAAAGTCCTGTCCATGCAAATGCCATAATCAAAAGAAATAGTTGTGCAACAATGCATGAGGTCCAAGCAAAATTATATAGTGTTTTTACAGTCGCATTCTTATATGGAACGTTGCAATTAAATGTGCACGTGTGTACTGCGTGCTACGCTAATGCAAAAGTTAAATTTCAAGATACTCTACTTTTGGCACATGTGGTATTACAATACAAAATATAAGTACATGCTTGATTAAACATCTCAAACTTACACTGGTTTTCCTAGTTTTTTAGGCACGGAGATCGTTCTCCTCTCTATGATTTTCCCAACAATGAAATCAACATTACAGAGAAATGGCCCAGAGGATTTGGTCAAATTACCCAAGTTAGTCATGCTATGTTGCAAAAATAATAAAAACTTATGCGCAAATATTTTATTTTTAAGAAAGTTTGCCAATTTCCCAATGTTATTAGGCAGGAAAAATGCAAGCGTTTCAGCTGGGCCAATTTTTGCGCAACCGATATTTCTCTCTTGTTGGTGACCGCTACCATCCTGATGATATTTACATGCTGACATCAGACTACGACAGGACCATCGTTACTGCTTTGTTAGTTCTTTCCGGATTGTATCCAGCTAAGGAAAGGTGGCATTCATCAATTGATTGGGATCCGGTCCCATTGCGAACAATTCCTCATGAAATTGACAACGTAAACATATTGCCAACTGTTCTTGAACGTAATGAATGATGCATGTCAGTTTAAGATCATTTTAAATTAGATCATCGCATTCACGGCCAAGTGCCCAAAGTATGAGCATCAACTAGATTGTTACAGATACCATGGGACTGGAAGAATGCTAGACGCCAACTATACCAAATTTTATGCTTATCTCTCAAATCACACTGGGATTCCTCTCCATGAGTTGAATTTTGAAAAAGTTAACGACGTTTTTGACACTTTATATGTTCAAGTACGTTTCCACATCTTTCCTCTATCCTATTCTTACATCCTGGAACTATGGAATGGCATCTTCCTCAAAATTTACATATTTATTTAGGATGTACACAAATTGGGAGTCCCAAAGTGGGCAAAACAGCATGCTTATGAGGGTCAAGAACATTATCTTATGAGAAAAATCTCTGAATACACTTTCTCTTCATTAACATACAATGAAATTGCAATGAATCTAAGGGGAGGACCTGTAATGCGAGAAATAATGCGAAACTTTGAGGCACATACCCAGCAGCAGCATTCATCGCACAACCGTATTTCAAAATTCAAACTACGACTTTATTCTGGCCATGATTCCACAATCGCGACAATTTTGCAAGTATTTGGCGTTTACAATCATCAACTCGTTCCTTACACTGGAACGGTCTTAATAGAACTTTACAAAAGGAGCTACAAAACTGATGAACCCTCGTGTCCTCAAATTCCCGATCCTTTCAGCGACATGTATTTCATTAAGGTACACATTAATTTTCTCTGTTATATTTACATATGTAAATCATTTATACTTTCTAAATATGAGGAAATGTGAAAATATGTAAATTGCAGTTTTTCTACAAAAACTGTACCACACAAAATTTGTTATATGAGATACCGCTTCCTGACTGTCGCGATATTACGGAATCATCAGATATTAATTTTAGACCGAGTTGCAGCATCAAAAAATTGCGACAAGTAATGCGATCTGTTCTGCAAGGGGATTGGTACCAACAGTGCAAATACAAGAGTAATTGCTGTGGATCATGTGCAAGTTTCAAAAAAAGTGGTTCCGATTTTTCAAAATTTGAATATGAGTCCAGCGTTTCTGCAACCATGCAATGGTTGAGAGCATGCCTTTAATTTATTTATGGTAACAAATTTTAGTTTTTGACCGTTTGTAATAAAAAATTCAATTGGTTTCAAATTGAAGATACAGATGTACGTTTTATTTTAATGTGACTATGCATGTCACATGTGACACGTATCACGCAATCTACTAACCGCACGTAGCATCCAGTTTTGACATGCAATAAATTGAACAATACAGCACATTAATCACTCGTTGTTAATCCGTGTAGTCATAATCATGTGTACATATGTACATGTACATGCGATTAACACGAGGACGAGGTTAAAGATGGGTTAAAACAGCCTACTAGTATATACAAATACTTACACCATGGTACATGACAAGCCATAACCGACATTTTAGGATGTATAATCGGTGAATCCTTAGTATAATCGGTGAATGAATTGGAAATCATACATTTATGAAATATAATTCGAGTTTATGATTTTATAATTAAGAACTTTATTGTGCACAGTGGGGTAGAGGGGAAATGGATTACCAAAACGAAAAATCCATCCAATCCAAAACCCATTTGGATTTATCCAATCCATCCAATCCATTTTTAGTTTTGTCCAAAAAAATCCATCCAATCCAAAATCCATTTGGATTTATCCAATCCATCCAATCCATTCGAAATTTTATAACAAAAATATCCAATCCAATCCACAACTTTTAAACCATTAAAAATTCAATCCACACAAAAAATCTATATTATCCACCACTACTTTTAAATTAAACCAATATAATCCAGTTTTAAAACATTGATATAATATTTACAAAATCAGCAAAACTATATTTAAAACAATGACTACCATCATATACATACCTATTGTTAAATTTCGGTATATTTTTAATACAACAGAACTAGTTTATACAACCGCCAATCGACAGGTAAAAACTAAATAGTGAATTTGACCCTCCTTTCACTGACCAAACAAGCAATACACTCGCTTGCTTTAAGTTAAAAATATAAGTAAATAAATACAATAATTTTTCCACAACTAAAAATTCATCCAATCCAATCCAGTTCTCCGATTATCCAACCCAATCCATATCCATGGATTGGATTGGATTCCAAATGGATTGGATAATATGGATATCCATTTCACCTCCTACAGTGGGGCCATTTCATGTGAGCAAAAAATGTCTTTGGTTCAATTCATCCTTATTCTCTCTTTTCAGCTTTGTCATTTAGCATACTTTACTATAAATAATTGTTTTTGAGGCGTGCCGTTTTCAGCCAATGAGTTTATTTGCTTTCAGAATTCAATTCCATTCATGTTAAGCCTAATTACTGACGAATTGAATGAAATTTATTGTCGTTGCACATCCATGGACAGTAGTATCCTGTAGACCACATTATTAGGCTGATTTAATTCCTCTGCATCTGCACACATATGTACATTACGACTATCATTTACTTCATGTCACATCACTTGAAATCTATTTCGAACCATTTTAAAGTTGGTTAAGTTCATCTTGCTCTAATACGCTGTGAACCAAGTGATTTTACCACAATACAGTAGTTGTCACGTGTAAAAGTACAAATATATCTAATCGTAGGGTTTGTGAGCAACTAACCTCACCAATGACCGCCGTGACATTGGCAGTAACGTCTCAAGAACACAAACAGGACAAATACAACTTTATAATCCGATTTAAACTGTTTCAGGTATATTCATGTACATATGCATAGGAAGCCAATTTTTTCATGAAGAACTAGCTCAAACTGGAGATTCCCAACAACACGTAAATATTACGCTCTTATACACAGTGTATATGAATATTATACACTTTCCACTGTATATTTGCTAGCTCGGCCCGGGACGAGCGAGAAGCCAAATTGTGTTTTACTTTTATCCACGTTTATCGTTGAGGATTCTATAATTCTTATTCCACTGGATCACGTACGCACGGTGCATCCGCATTCGGGCATATTACTACATCAGAAGATAGAAAAGGAAAATGTCGAATAATAATAATACCAGCACGAGCACAACCATTCCTCCAGTTACTCCAGACACAGCTGTAGAACAACCACAACAGAGTCCCAGCAGTAAGGATACTGTTGCACATCAGGTGTTGAAATCTGCGCCTGGACTTGAACACGTCTTTTACGCCGAGGAGGGGAGTCGACCCAGGTGCAACACTTTAGAAATTCATCCAGACGAGGCGACAGGGAGAAAAAGCCCCGTTGTTGGTGGGAGGATCAGGACGACCAGTTGCAACGTCGCAGGACTGCAAAGTCCCACTAATATGACCGGCTTGAAATCTCATGATGGGGGAAGAGCCATGACCCATTGGAGCTGCAAGGGCAAGGGTCTAGCTGTCTTTACGTCCGGAGGCGATTCACAAGGTTTGAATTACTTCGAGTGTTTCACAGAATTTTAGAAATTTTTACAGAAATGTCTGATTGGTGATTTTTGTTGTACAGGTATGAACGCTGCTGTCCGAGCTGTGATTCGTGTTGGAATTTACCTTGGTACGCCTCATTATCCATATCTAACATTACTATTATTCTGTTTCGGCCTTGGTGACGAGTATGTCATTTCATTACATTTATCTAGGATGCAGAGTTTACTTTATTCGTGAGGGTTATCAGGGAATGGTAGATGGAGAAAAGTATATCCAAGAGGCGACCTGGGGCTCGGTGTCTTCGATTATTCACAAGGTAAACTTTTTAGTTGTATGGAGATTATTAAGGGATTTGCATTATTATTACAATCTGCCAACTTCCAGGGAGGGACGATTATCGGATCCGCACGTTGCAAAGATTTTCGGGAAAGGGCTGGGCGTTTAAAGGCCGCAAAGAATTTAGTGAATGTGGGAATCACAAACTTGGTGGTTATCGGCGGGGACGGGTCTCTTACTGGGGCAAATCTTTTCCGTCAAGAGTGGGGTGAGTATGTAAGAAGTTGTCATTCGCTTACTTATTTAATTTCACTTTATTGTACATCTCGTCGGCTTCACGCCATCCATTCATTATACACAATTAAAATGCATAAACTTAGAATCCGAACAAAATTACTTAACTTTCTGTTCGTTTATTTTCTCGACGTAGGTTCATTACTTGCGGAATTGGTTGAAACGAAGCAAATCACTCAAGAGCAGAAAGAAACGTGCAAACACTTGCATATTGTGGGGATGGTCGGTTCAATTGACAATGATTTTTGCGGAACGGACATGACTATTGGTAAAGCATTATTACCAATTAATTGAAACACATGTTATGTATTTTACAAGTATTCATGATAATGAAATTATTTCAATTCCAAAAGGAACGGATTCTGCTTTGCACAGGTATGTACATATATACTAGTATTATTATTTTCTATCAAATTTGATAATACTTTGTTACAGTAAATATTCTTTCCACACAGAATCATAGACTGTGTCGATGCTATTGTGTCAACGTACGTATATAATCACATTTTATATTATTAATATTCGCTGATATATCTGTAGAAATGATAACTAACAATTCCTTGAATGTTTCAGGGCGATGAGTCACCAACGAACGTTTATTTTGGAAGTTATGGGCCGTCACTGTGGGTAAGCTAATGACAACATTGTCATTTACTTAAATTCAGTAAGACCTGTAAGTTTATGGTATGATGTGCCACTATCGTAAGATATTTGGCTGTCATCGCTGCAAGTGTCACGGAAGCAGACTTTGTTTTCGTGCCTGAAGACCCTCCTCCAGTGGACTGGCAAACCAAGTTGTGTGTAAAACTAGAACAGGCAAGCCGCAGAAATAATTTGCAAAGGGATTGTTGAGATTTTCTGTTTCTGCATCTCTTAAAATTTAACAAGGTGGTGTCTTGAATGTTCCCTGAATTAAGTGTTTTGCAAATGTTTTTGCATGACTCAGTAATATACAAAAGTGCATAACGTGGGTATTTCGAATAACTAACACTTTTTGCTCGAATTTTCTAATCATTAGTTATCTTGGTCTGGTCGGTGCATTGGCAACGGAAGCCGATTTCGTGTTTATACCCGAATGGCCCCCAGAAAAAGACTGGCCGACAAAACTCTGCACGAAACTTACCCAGGCAATTAACATGTTTTCTGTTCGCTATTAACTTCCTGCTGACACCTTGTAAATATGATTATGTAATAACTCTAAAGTCATTATTTCTAATTTTACTTGAACACCTAAAGGAAAGAGAGCAAGGGCAGCGACTGAACATTATAATTGTAGCAGAAGGGGCAGTAGATCGCGAAGGAAAGGCAATCACAGCAGAAGATGTCAGGAAAGTGGTAGTCGACAGACTCAACCAAGATGCAAGAATAACAGTTTTGGGCCATGTTCAGAGAGGAGGGTCTCCATCCGGATTTGACCGCGTTCTTGTAAATCCCATGTTTACCATATTTTTCACAATATATCCTTACTATTACTACGAATAACATACGTTTTTCTTCAGGGATGTCGTATGGGTGCTGAGGCTGTAATGGCATTAATGGATGCAACCCCTGGTATGTGTATCAAATAAGTTCATAAATAATTAACATGATCCGTTTAAATAAGGCTAACAATTTTATTTGATACGAAATTCGTTGTTTTTACCTCATAGAGTCTGAACCTTGCGTTGTATCACTAGACGGAAATCAAGCTGTCAGAGTAGGTTAAAGTTTGATGTGGACATCTTTTGAATCGACTCATAGACGTGATTACAGATTTACATAACAGACCTCTGACATTCCTAATAATATGTAGGTCCCCCTGATGGCTTGTGTTGAAAAGACACAGGAAGTCGCGAAAGCAATGGCTGACAAACAATGGGAAAAGGCTGTGCAGCTTAGGGGAAGGTGTGGATGCATGCGTTAAATTTTTACATCGAATATTCACAATGAAATACGATATGAGTTATAACCCTTATTTCGTTATTTCCTATTTCTGTAGGAGTTTTCAAAGAAATCTAGAAACATTTAAGATGTTGACTCGCTTACGTCCACCAAAAGGTGTACTGGATGCTGAAGGACATGGCGTGGTAATTTTTTTTTTACAATACTCGATTTTTGGGTTTGACCTGAGTGTTTGGGAGTTATAATATACATATAGATATTCATCGCAGCAACTGTGATTGAAGTTTTTTTTACTTAACAAGCCATCGACTAATCTTATTTTTGTATTTCCTTGTGCACACTTTATGATAATTCGTCTGGAAATTCATCAGGGACAATTAAACAAGGTATTTAATTTGGGGAGGAATTTTAAATTGTCCTCAATGCTGCTAGTCGGTTTTTGGATCATCAATATGAATGTATTGCTCCTCTCTCTGCAGTGTTTAGAGTATTTGCTTTAAAAATTGTATTTTTTAATCGCTGAAAGTAAAGTAGTTGCGGAGTACGATTAATTAACAAGAGTTTTACTTTAGTCTTATGTCTCTAGTTTTACTTTAATGTATTCTGGTGGTGGCTATTAATACAAAAAGTTGCAATGCAAGAGTAAAGAAATAGTTAAGCAACACTTTGCATACTTTACTTGTTGCCATCAATTGTTGTATTAAATGTATTTATAAAATTCTGCAATAGGGTGGATTTACGTTGGCTGTAATGCACGTGGGTGGTAAGTGGAAGAATTTTAAGTAAATCTACGGATTATGTACGATAACTATTTCTAAAACCACTATCGTTTGCTATATTGTTTGACAGCACCATGCTGTGGCATGAACTCGGCCGTGAGATCCTTTGTGAGAAATTGCATATACAGAGGAGATACAGTTCTCGGGTAAGTTACCATTTACTATACGGAACTATTTGCTCGATGTGCGATAAGTTAATTTATTTGATATGTATTAATTGTTTTATTGTTAGAATTCATGATGGGGTTATGGGGCTTGTGGAAGGAAGAATAAAAGAAATGCATTGGAGTGATGTTACTGGGTGGGTAGCTCAAGGTGAGCATGTCTCCTAAAACTTGGTGCAATTATTATAAATGCATAAAACATATTTAGTATAAAGAATTATTTAGTGTGTGCATTTATTTTACAACTCGTTATTTGAGCAGTAGTAAACATTTTATTGCAAAGGTGGTGCTCTACTTGGAACTAATCGGACCCTTCCAAAACCCGAAACTATTCCCTTAATTGCTGAGCAGTTGAAGAAGAATAAGATTAATGGCCTTCTAATTATTGGGGGATTTGAAGGTGAGTGTTGAGGCCTTCAAATGGAGAGTATTTGTATTATTAATTATTTATAAAGCTATCATTAATTATTGATTCATTTTAACAATTGTCTGCAGCCTTTCAGACAATTCTCTCGTTTGCTGAAAGTCGGGGCTTGTTCCCAGCCTTTCAGGTCAGTCAATATTTGCACAAAATGCATAAATGTAATTTGATTTGATATCCCTCATCGTGATTATTTATTTCAGATCCCAATTGCATGCATACCAGCAACTATCAGTGAGTTTTTTTATACTAATCGTCTCATTTGCCAAACATAATAAAAATTAATGTTTTTTATATTAGGTAATAATGTCCCTGGTAAGTGTGGAAGTTAGTTATTTAAGAATTAGGATAACGAAGGGCTTAATTCTTACGTGCAAGAGTCCCTGTTTACTTTTCAATTCCTGTAATTTCATGTTTGTATTTAGGAACGGACTTCTCACTAGGATGTGATACAGCTCTTAATGAGATTACGGAGATTTGTGACAGGTAAGATTATTGTTTTCATCTGTTACTCAAAATGGTTCAAAACAATTTCAGAAAGTGAACTTACCGCAAGTATCCAACGTATGTGTTATGGTTTGGTGGATGTTGGGGAGGGGGAGGCGTGGCAATTATCGCTGACAACTGTAGAACAACGGAGAGATTCTTGATAGCAGGGCTCGCAGCACGTACTGTATTGTTTTCTGGAATTAAATTCGTACTATTTACGATATGAGTAACTTTTGATCATTTTGGGACAGTTTTTTTTTCTTAAGATGCTCCTTCCTGCTTTTGTTGTTTTGAAAAGGTCGACTACATTTTGCACAGTCAAACTTAGGATGTTTTGCAATGTGTTTTTGGTATGAGTCAGAGTTATTTGTATAAAACTTGCACGTTGGGCATGAGAGTCTTGATTTTTTATTATGAAAGTCCCTTAAGTGTTTTGTCAAATTGTTCTGAGTTGAAAAAGATGTGTCACAAAAACTGCACTTTAACGTTTCAAACTGACGAGCTCTGTGTGCATTAACTTTAGGTGTTTTTTTTGTTGGATGTAATTTTTCCTGCATAAGTTTTGTAATATCCTCCCTGGTACACTGGATGTTATAAAAATTTGTCGTGGTTATTTTAAGTCCCTTGAACAAATCACTTAGTTTTTCATTCACAACTATGCTAAAAATGTCTGTTTTCCACAAACTCTTCACTGTTGCTTTTAAAGTTGGCAAATCAATAAGATGCTGAGCATACTTTGCTACTTCTGTGTTTTGACTTCGTGGAGATAAACCTAGGTATTTACTACTGTCCTTTCTATACTGTTTTTTCATAACCCGTGACATCAAAAACAAGTAACATTCTGAAGCGTTCGTACAGGTATTATTAGCAATTACTTCACGAAACTCAGTTTCAAAAAGTCGGAGAAGTCGGAACGTGGTATTCCGTCTTTCTGTGTAAATTAGTTGTTCTCCATCCACTTTTTTATATGTATCACAGTAATCAATTCCATAACCACGAATCCCTGTGACGGACGATAATTTTAAACTCAAGTTTAACGGGTCTGTTAGATCGAGAAAAACTTGAACACGATAACCATTACAGACACTAAAAAAATATGTATCTTCGTCATACAAACTGCCGTCCGAGTCACTTTCACTATTTTGCACAACTATTTCTGTTTTGGACTTGGGTCCAGGTTTTATTTTAATTACTCTCTTGTCGTAGTTGCTAATGTCAGACAGTTCCATTTTAAAACTCATTTTGTAATTTTTCAACTCCTCCGTCCTCACATGATGCAGAGTTTGGTGCCTACCACTAACTACCCTCTACGTAACTTCGACAACCTGGTGTACTAGCCGTAGCAGAACAGAATGAGACACGATTGATCTTGGTTGGGAGTAATGTGATGAATCATGCTTAATGTACACCATTTCGTATATTTGTTGTTTTTTCAGAATAAGACAATCAGCTCAAGGAACAAAGCGGAGAGTCTTCATTATTGAAACGTAATTCCTCCACAACTAATTTCGCATGCTTTCATCGGTGATTCGATGAGCCCTTCAGTTCCACTGGTTTATGTCTCAATTAAAATTGATTTTTTGTTTCAACCTATATTGTAGGATGGGTGGGTACTGTGGATATCTTGCCACTTTAGCTGGACTTGCCGGGGGAGCCGATGCTGCTTATATTTTTGAAGGTAAATAAATACATAACTTTTAATTTTCATGTCATTACACTTTGAAGTAATACATAGATTCGTAATCGCAAATATGGTTATTCATACAGAACCGGCTAGAATCGACGATCTAGTTATCGACGTGAAGCATATGGCCAGCAAAATGGACACTGGTGGAATTTCTAGAGGCCTAATTTTAAGGTTGATATAAAATTATTGTTGTTATCATGTACAAGATACATCGAATGCTAAATATCAAATAACATGCAGAAATGAGTTGGCCAACGAAAACTACGATACCAATTTTGTCACTCGTCTTTACTCTGAGGAAGGAAGGGACTATTTTACAACCAGAGTGAATATTTTAGGTCATATGCAGCAAGGTTAGTATTTATTCTTCAGCATTTGTTTTCACGTTGTGCGGTTCTTGCTCTAAATTAATTGTATTTTAATTTTTGCGTGCAACCAGGAGGATCGCCAACCCCGTTTGACCGCAACATGGGAACCAAGATGGCAGCTAAAGTTGTTGATTGGTTTATTGATAAATTGATGGGAGGAGATAAAAACTACCATGGGCCCCACACTGCTGTAATGCTAGGAGTCGTTCGTCGTCAATATAAGTTTACACCGGTCCAAGAATTAAAATTATATACAGGTATATCACAAATTTATGTATACATATGTACCTACTTAGATTCGTGATTTTGTTTTTGAACAAATTTATAGCCATGTTTGTTTTTTCAGACTTTCAGCATCGAATTCCGCAACAACAATGGTGGCTTAAACTTAGACCGTTGCTCAGAATTTTAGCCAAGCACGAGTCCACTTATATCGAAGAGGGTATGACGATGACAACAGAAGATCATATAGCAAATATTGAAGCTATCGCATAGATGATCCGCCGAGAATGTCAATGTTGGTGAGCTCTGTCCCATATTCAAGTTTTAATATTTTTCTTGGGATATTTGAATCACAAAGCCATAGTCTTGCATCATAGAAATAGTGGAGGACATAAATACATAATTCTATTCCTACATTATATTATATATATAGAACCAGGCATAGTAAAATTCGTTGGAATATAATTATGGGAATATCTATAGTGTGGATTGATTGTGGAAAATTGGCATCATGTAGTTAGATTGATTCCAAGTTATTCATGGAGCGATTTCACAAATTAATTGTTCTAAATATGTCCATGTTTTAAAATGCAAATAAATATGTATGAAATTAATAACTTTAAAAGTCAAGTCACTGTCTGCGTTGATGATTGGTTTTCTTGTACAGCTCATAGATTTCATTGATTTCCATTTGAAGCATTTCATGCTACGTGTAAAATAAGTCATAAAATGTTTATGTATCTTCCATGATCTATCTTGTAGTTGAGTCCGCGTAGGTCGTTTTATCATTTTGCTCAAAGACTCATGGTCCTCCAAAGAATGATGGAAATTGGTTTCCAAAAGTTAGCAGAGATCTCATAACCTGAAATAGTTTATTTCCTCCATAATTTTAGTTGGAAGATCTCATACAACGTCCGACGCTTTGTAAATTCATCGTGTGTGGTCAGTCCAAATGTCTTTGGGTTTTGAGTGCAAGTGTTGCGTGATGAAAGTTTCACCCTTCACCCTTTCCTCGTCGTCTTCGGCTTAGAAATTGGGTAGGTAGGTGCAGTAGTGAAACATTTCAATCAGAGCGGAGTACGAAGAAGCCTGAAAAAGATAGCGTATTTTTACGACAGAATACCCAGTGTTTTTTTACACATTCAGCTTTCACTCTTGGTGGATTGAAGAATATCAGTAAAATATGTATGGAGTGGTTTAGTACCACCTACAGATCTACCGCAACTTCTTGCGCCTTATTTTTTAGCTTCCCACTGACCACTTACTGCTGCTACTTTTGCTTGCGGCTGCAGCTATTTGATTGATAAATAAATACTTTTGATTGATACCAGCAAATATTCTATATAGAGTAGACATGTACATATAATACACATGACGTGAAGTGGCGATACTCCATAAATGTGGGAAGGACATGACAAAACCAGACAAGGACATGATTTGAGTGACTTGCCTGCTTATGAAGGATGACAAATCGAGAAGGCCAACAACAATGCAACAAATTAGGTCAATCTTCTCCACGAAAGTGATTATTCACCGTCCTCATCCAGAAATGTTTGCCAAGTTGCCAAATGTATAATGGTTTATCAAATGGAATGGTCTCATTTCGTCATCCCAGATACTAAGCGATACTGACTGTTTCAGAGCGCTTCTTTTTCACACAAACATTTATGTGGTTCATTTATTGTAGATTAATTATGTATTATATACTCCGAAAAGAGAAAGTACAGTTCATACATATTTATAATTTGTTTAATGTGTTTTTTGAACATATACACATTTACTTGGACTGCATGGCAAGGTGTATTTGGCGATGAATTTTGAGATTATCTACCTTTTCCGAAGGAAGAAACCGTTCTATGAAATGAATGAGTGGCCTTCATTGGGGAAAGGGAGAGAGCAAAGTAAATAGTGTTTTGGGTAAGTGAGGGAGAAAGTGATGGAGTGAGATGGCAATATGAGATGATCGTGAAGTGTAGGCAATTCTCCCCAATTACACGAAAACAATGTTCCTTCCACATGTTGACGACGAGTCGACGACTTCCTGCACACACCTTGCTTCTGACAACTCAAGTACTCGAGAAACAACACAATAAGTCCACCCACAGGCACAAGTTGCACACAATTCGAATACATACTTATATCCGTAGAGTAAATTAGGTAGGTACAAACACGTGCGGCAGTTATTTCTGAAGTGACATTACTTTACATAAATTAAACAATCTTTAGCTGTAATTACATGCGATGATTAAATAATTTCATAAATCTCTCAGATGAGCAAAAATTCGAATCTCAAATATTGGTTCGAAATTCCATGTAAAACAACTCATATTATTGCATGTAACAGGAAACACGAGTGCAAACAGTTTTATGCGATGGTGAAGATTATGTACATCGTTTTAAAATTTTACACACAGTCTCAAAAAACTCGAAAGAGTTTATTACATTGAGAAAAATGCTGTTACCCATCTGGAAGGGATCGAGAAGAGCTGTCCTTAGGCTGGAGTTTGATGTTTAGACTTGCTTAGTTGCTTGCTCAAGCGAAGGAATCTTCTGCAAACTGAGACGCCGGCATGGATTACGCAAGAGGAGAAAGACTGTAACGACGACACATCCATATTTTGTTGTAGTTTGGGCTGGGGGAAAGTACAAGGTGTTTCGAATTATTCATGAGCAACAACATCTTTTCCTTTTCCTCCTCAATATTTCATGTGACGAAACACCAAAATTCAAAAACCGAACTGACTGCCAAACTTTACCTTCAAACGGCATTTCCTTCTTGCCCTATCCGATTCTCCTTATTTCTCTCCCTCTCTCTAAGCCAGAGGTTCACACTTTCCTTCCAAAAGATCTCCACAGTCCAAGAAGAAACTCTGAGTGGGAAACATTTCCTTATTTTGTCTTCCCTGTCAGACAACTTAACCACAAAAACATTGTAAGAAATGACACGGCCATCTCGAAATATCGTTGTGTTCTGCACCTCAATGGAGGTAGTGGTGGTTGGTGGTTATGCTTATGTAGACGGAGCGGGGTACATGTCAAAGCTCAGCCTATTTGTAACCTTTAAGCCCCATAAAATAAAATGCAGACATGCGATGATGAAGATACAGTGAGGCTGTGGTGGTGGTGGTGTGAGGTCGCGACCATATCATCTCGTCGTCATATTCATCATCTTCATTCTGTAAATCCTACAGGATTTTCTCACCCGAATGTCTCCCATTCATTCTCACGGCCATGCTTTCTATTCTCATCCCTTCGCTTATCACTTGGCCATGGTCAATCCCTCCAGAACAATTGGACATGGTTTTTTAAACTTCAACAACATATTGGTCTTCAAAGTATAAAAATACTTTTAAAATACTTTAAAGTATACGCAGTTCCCATATCATGAAATTGAGTTAAATAAAATTAGTTCATTAACTAAACTCGTTGAACCACGATAATCATACCCTTGTACGTGTACTTATCATATCATGCACATGAGCACTATTACTATTCTCAGATCAAATCAACGATAATATCACATTTATTTTTTCTTGGTTACTTTCTATCAAACTGTTCATGAAAATGCATTGTATGTAGATGGCAGATGCGTATAATGTATGCAGAAATATATAATATGCATTCCTTATTTTCTTTTACAAACGACAAAAGGAATTCAAGTTCAAATTCTGATCCAAACGTTGCTACACGGTTATGCATTTCGAATCCCATCACCTCATTGCATCGTGTATGGAATGTTGTCGCAAGAAAGCATTCTAAACAAATAGGCAGGCACCACATTGACAATGCTTTGGCGATTGGCCCTGTTACAGTATGCAGCAAAATGGAGACGTTAAGTAGTGTGAAACCACGGAGAATGGGGTTTCTTGTTGATATTATTATTATGATTATTATTATTAGTGTTATAGCACAAAGAGAGTTTTGAGATTCTCTGTCCTCTCCACAGCTTAGGCATCAATTTTGTGGTTCAAAGACGGAAATCAAAAGAAGGCATCATCTTTTCAAACTTGCAATGGTTCTACAGAAGCAGTTCTATTTAGTTGACATTGCTTGCTGCACCCCAAAAACCTCCGAGAAAAATATATGGTCGTGTATGTAATGTGCATAGTGGTTGGTGGGGAGAAATGTTTATTTTAAAGTGCACACACTTTTCCAACGCATTTATACGAGGATAGTGTCCCAGACAATTTCCGCCACTATAAAAGTACTACATGGACTAACAATCCTGTCACTCAATAATCATAACTCTTCATTTCTTGACCGATAATGGACCGCAATCTAGATCTGAATCTAAATTCTAAAATCCCCCACTAAGGAATATCTATTGCCCTATTTCAAGCATTTTGTACGTAATTTGAATTGAAGGCATTTCATAGCTATGTATACTTATGCAACTTTTACAGCTTATTCTAAAATTAAAGTTATTCCAAACTAAACCATTAGTTCAAAATAAACCATTTCACCATTTTCATGTCCATGATCAACCATATGCACAAGGAATATGCCCTGAGATGTTATCTGGCATCGTTATAACTCCTCCCACTGCATGAACCTAACGTAACTTTGCCTAACCTAACTGATATTGGAGCACACTTTTTAACCTAAATTAGGGAGATTATGGGCATGCAAATTTCGGACGAAAAGTAGTGCAGTTTGTAAAATTCATCATTCTCGTCCTATGATTGATTTAGATTTACTTATTTGTTTCAAGGATCTGTGTTAACCGATGATGTTAAATATCCAAGCTTATCGGTGGTCAAAATGTGAATTTAATCTGAAGTCTGAGAGAAATGTTTGGAGAAATGTCGTTATTACTGTTGGTTAGTATTTTAGTGAAAGTTGGCTGGCAATCCATACGTGAACAATCTCAAATTCAAAATTAATGGCTTACAAATATATGCAAATTTCAGTTGCCTATTTAAGTACCTTATTAATTTAGTCCTTGATAACAATGTGACATTCCAAGTTAGCAACAAGCACATAATTAGCAAAATCGAAACGTTTCTCTTGCTTTGTCTTTTCCAGATACTATACAGACAGACATATACATTAGCATATGAACACTCCATAAGCCCAGGCTAGGACCAAAATTCTAAACCCAACTAGTTTTGTGCAACAGATAGCAGAAGTGTTTTTCTAACATTTAGCCAATGGGGAAAAGGTAAAAGTTACCAGGTCAAACTGGAAATTTCATTCCCTAGGCAGTTAGAGCAGGAGAAAAACCAAGAGAAAGAAAAATGAGAAAAGTTTAGTTTGATATGAGAACAAGCATTTTAACTTTTGTCTTCAAATATAAACTTTACAAAAGAAATAAGTACATAACGATGTGTCTTTTATGTTCAAAAAGTATTTATACACACTTTTAGTCTCACATGTTATTTATATGTATATATTGATCAATAATAATGGAAATAACAGTTAATAATAAAGAAACCTTTTAATAATGGAAATACACAATTAACCGTGTGATCTGATATAAATTGTTCAACATTAATCCTTTGAGGCTCATTTTGGTTAATTAAATCTGTCCTAAAGTACAATTGCGAAACTCCATAAGTAGCAATTAACAAAAGAGTTATGTTTCACTTTTAGTCCGTTGGGCAGACTTTGATGCCTTTTTGTGGAGTTTT